CATCAGTCACGCAAAGGCTGCCAGAGTAATCAAGCGAGCGAGCGAAGCGAGCGAGCGTTTTTAATTTGCGGTGCGACATGCGGAGAGCTGGGTCCCCGGGGTCCAGGGGCGAAGCCCTGCCGGCTTGGGGCGGAGCCCCAATATAGGAGTGCAGGGGCGCAGCCCCCCGCTGAAGCAATTGAGACGGTAATCAAGAAATCGAAAAACTAACCGGGTTATTTTTGACGGACCTGGTGCAGTAAATGCATAGAAGATCGTAAATTTGGACCCGGTACACTAATACAGACCGCCCCGGGTGGATCGTTTTTGAGGAACCGACATGCGGGGAACCACCGGGGCATTTTTCACAAACCCGCCATACAAACAGTATGGTGGGCCCGTTTTTCAGAACCCGGTCCGGGATTTTTGCCCTCCCCGGTTGGTGCGTTTTTGGGGAACCGACATGCGGGGAACCACTGGGCATTTTTCACGAACCCGCCATACAAAGAGTATAGAGGGCCGCTTTTTTGGACCCGGTCCGGAATTTGCCGCCCCGGCTGGATCGTTTTGGAGAACCGACATGCGGGGAACCACTGGGAATTTTCACGAACCCGCCATACAAACAGTATGGTGGTCCGTTTTCAGAACCCGGTCCGAAATTTTGCACGTTTTGGGGAACCGACATGCGGGGAACCACCGGGGCATTTTTTACGAACCCGCCATACAAACAGTATGGTGGGTCCGTTTTTCAGAACCCGGTCCGGGATTTTTGCCCTCCCCGGTTGGTGCGTTTTTGGGGAACCGACATGCGGGGAACCACCGGGGAATTTTTCACGAACCCGCCATACAAAGAGTATAGAGGGCCCGCTTTTTTGGACCCGGTCCGGGAATTTGGCCCGCCCCGGCTGGATCGTTTTTGGAGAACCGACATGCGGGGAACCACCGGGAAATTTTTCACGAACCCGCCATACAAACAGTATGGAGCGTCCGTTTTTCAGAACCCGGTCCGAAAATTTTGCCCGCCCCGGTTGGATCGTTTTTGGGGAACCGACATGCGGGGAACCACCGGGGCATTTTTCACGAACCCGCCATACAAACAGTATGGTGGGTCCGTTTTTTAGAAACCGGTCCGAAATTTTTGCGTTTTTGGGGAACCGACATGCGGGGAACCACCGGGGAATTTTTCACGAACCCGCCATACAAAGAGTATAGAGGGCCCGCTTTTTTGGACCCGGTCCGGGAATTTGGCCCGCCCCGGCTGGATCGTTTTTGGAGAACCGACATGCGGGGAACCACCGGGGAATTTTTCACGAACCCGCCATACAAACAGTATGGTGGGTCCGTTTTTTAGAACCCGGTCCGGGATTTTTGCCCTCCCCGGTTGGTGCGTTTTTGGGGAACCGACATGCGGGGAACCACCGGGGCATTTTTCACGAACCCGCCATACAAACAGTATGGAGGGTCCGTTTTTCAGAACCCGGTCCGAAAATTTTGCCCGCCCCTGGTGGATCGTTTTTGAGGAACCGACATGCGGGGAACCACCAGGGCATTTTTCACGAACCCGCCATACAAACAGTATGGAAAGCCCGTTCTTTAGAACCCGGTCCGGAAATTTTGCCCGCCCCGGTTGGATCGTTTTTGAGGAAGCGACATGCCAAAAACCACCGATGCAGTTTTATCAAACCTTCGGTACATATGAATAGGGCGTCAGTTTTTTAGGACCCCGTCCGGAAATTTTATCCGGCCCTGGTGGTACATTTTCCAGTATAGCAGTTTGCGTAACGAATTTATATTACCATTACCTAAACACTGCAACGAATATCGTAACCGTGAAGAGTCAGTTATCGCTGTTACCGTAGCGGTTCAGTCACTACCGCTCCGTATCCGCAGTACGTGTGCAGTTGCCGGGGATTACCGTGCATTGTAACGGGCAACCATTATTCGCAACGGATTGCCATTGCAAAATTTTTGTAACGATTTTCTGCTAGCCTAACAGATAACCGTTTCGACGGGTAATCCTGATGCTATACTGTTACGTGTTACCGTTACCGTAACGGTTTACCGGACGTATTACCGTAACTGTTACCGTTAGCGTAGCGAGTTACAGCAATAAGATGCTGTTGCTTTAAGAATTGACTGTTTCTACAGAAAGAGCTCAAGCCGACGCCGAGCATGAATAGGCGTAGCCAGCAAGTGCAGCGGAAGCACTTTATTTTTCCGTTTTCAGAAACATATTTGCTTTTTTTGCTGGCATTAAAAAATTTTGTTTGTAAAAAGCAATACGAAACCCTAAAAGCTAACTGAATGCACAACCACAATATTCTTTTAACGGGAATTTTGCGGCTTGCGCCCTACCGAAGCTTGCATGCTGTGTGTGTAATTGTAGGGGTACGGCTGAAAAATGGATTTCAGCGAGGCGAAACTTTGTGACATGATTCACAACATTATAAAGCTTTGTTTGAGCAAATGTCCTCAACCAGTATATAACCTTGTAGACCAGTTGATTTCGGCCGTTCAAGCCAAACGTCACCATAAAGTCATAACGTATAACATTACCTTGAAACGATGACGTAACATTTACTTTACCTACATTAGCATCACCTACATTAGCACCTACATCACCTGCATTAGCACTTACTTTACAGGACCAATTGAGCCGCATTCAATTTGCAATCACTCATGGTAACGCGTTACCAGCTTTCACCACTCTAATTAAGCGTTACCAATAATAAATGTTACGCTACCATAACTATAACATGTTAGTGTAACCGTCTCAGTTTCTGTCACGGTAAGGGCTACCGTAACTATTGTTAACGGATTGCCGTCACCCTTGCTGTTGAAACCGAAAGCGTAGCCAAAGGCAACGCCGAACTGCGGACCAAGCCAGCGCAGAGTAGCGAGCGGAGCAGCAAGTAAAAACAAAGGGTTCGATTTTTCTTTCTTCCAAAAAATTTTTTACGACGTAGTTCTAACGTTCCATTATCGCGATGATACAGAAGCGAATAACCGTTTCTACGGAAATCGAAGGCGGAGCCGAAGGCGACGCCGAGCTGCGGCGTGAGCAAGCGCAGCGCAGCGAGCGCGCAGCAAGTAAAACCAAAGGATTATTATATCCTTTTCTTCGGAAATGGTTTTGTTTACGGTTCAATTTAAACGTTTACTTTCCGTGATGATACTGTACAGTAGCGAGTAACTGTTTCTAAGAAAATCGAAAGCGGAGCCAAAGCGACTCCGAGCTGCGGCGAGAGTAAGCGCAGCGAAGCGAGCAAAGCAGCAAGTAGAACGGAACGACTATTATTTTTTAGCTTTCTTTCAGCCTTTGTTTTAAAAAAAAAAAACAAAATTTAAAAGATAACTCTATCAAAGTTCAAATTTGATTTCTTGTTATTAAAATGCGAATTTTTTGAGTGATTGATCAAAGTTTCTCATTTTGAGCTACACCATTAGTTTTCATCTTTTAACATGAGCTCATTTATATTTTCGAATCAATTTAATTTGAAAAATAATAGGATAAACCTGATTGATAAACATTTCTGTTTCTTTACGGGGAAAAATAATAAAGATCCATGCCAAGGGTTTTTATTATTACAGAAAGCGGTATTCATGGCAGGTGAATTACGGCGTGTTGCTTTCACAAGCGTCGCATTTAATAGGCACTTTTCACGGAAACAGAAAATTTGGTAAAACTCCCTTTCCTGGATTATTGCCGCCAAGCACTGAATGAAGTACTGAAACGATAAATCGTTTCCGCAGCAAATCAGTGGAAAATTATTGGACACTGAAATTTGACATCTCCGCCGGTGTATTTCAGAACCAGTGCTGTTCCATCGGCATTAGCGTTTTCTTTTGTAAATCGTTGTGCAAATGCATCCGCAGCGAAAAAAGCGCTCTAAATTGCGGATGCTTTTAAAAAATCTCTCCAGTGAGTAATTCATCGTTTTGCCTTTGCAAGCGGTGGCTTTCAAATTTCAGTCGTGAAAACGATTGATCTGAACTGACGATGGCCGGGGTTGGGGTTCTTAAACGGGCTTGAACACTTCCCAACCAATATAAACGGACAAGCTGAGCGTAGCCACTGAATTGGTTCTGGCGGTTACCTGTATAAGTCTTATCGGTTTTGGGAATGAAATATCGGTACTGAGAATGAAATACTAAAGAAATGAGATCAGTATCCCAATGTAAAGAATTTGGTGCGGCGGAGAACAAGCGGAATGGGCGGCGATGTGCGGTAAAGCATTAGCAGTGCCCGCGCCGTAATTGCTGAAGGAATCGTTTCAAAATTAATATACCGTATCGGCTTGATTCCGTAAAACGTCATAAAAATGATGGTATCGCGTCGGCATCGCAGCGGTGGCAAAAACAAACTGATATCTGAGTATATCTGTTGATAACGCGGCATATGCAAAAGATACAAAAAGCTAGGTAGACTCTCAACTACTTGGTTAGGTTGCTGTCTCACCCTGCCAAGTCTTTTACAACAAAAAAATTTACATGCTCGCTCGCTTGCACTAAGGGCGGTTACGACCTTCTATACTAGTTAAATAACAGTGTTCTTCAGTCTCGACTCTTGACGTGTCTTGAAGAGTACGTATTTGAACGGTATTTTGGCGATGTCAACGATTAACGAAGATGCCGATAGGCTGGTTATTCACTTTATGATCAGTTGATTCCACCGATTAAATAACAGTTTGCATCTTTTAAGTTTTCATTTGTAAATGATTCAGGTGATTAATGAATCTTCCTGACTTTTTCATAATCAGTACTGTACTGACACCCTGCACTTGGAGAAATTTTGTACAGTATGAGCAGCACGGTGCTGTAGACAGGTGGATTTAAAGCCGATTGCGTTCAGCCAATAGCCAGCAGTCTGCATGCAGTTGCAAGCCGTGTATGTGAGCAGTGAACGCAGTCGTACAACGTACGCGTGGCTGCACAGCTAAAACAAACTTTCTGCGAGTGCAGGGTGTCAGTACAGTACTGGAGCGTCACAAAAAATCAATTCGACAGAAATAACTGCCGTAATTTTGATTCGCTTACTGCGTATTTTCATACCATCCTGTCATTACAGTATCAAATGTCGCAAATAGGTACATAATTTTTCCCCAGAAAAACACAACAATAATCTGTGCCGGATAAATCGACGAATAAAAAGTGCGGCAATCATTCACTTAACGCAACAACAACTTGAGAACCAAGGAAAACCAATTATCACAAAGAATTCGGGTCAAAACTCAAAACAAAAAGGAACTAATTTGACGTGAAAGTCAGCTCAGTCAATAACGATATCTTCGTTCTGGGTGCCTGGTACTTCCCCATCACTGTCCAGGGACATTTCGTCAAACTCACGGGTTGTCATATTAGCCACTGTGGACAGATCCTCCGACTGACTCAAATCCGGATCTTCGGGGTTAATATCCTGCGGCTCATCAGCCGCACACTCCGCGTGAATACCTAATTGTAAGAGCAAACACACTTTGTTGTTTCGCCATTAAAGTTAATTAATAGCTTACAGTAATTACACAGCGGCCGTGGCGCAGAAAATTACCGATCGTATTAAACAAGACTACAAAGCCACCTAATAATAATTATATGGCATCATGGATTCATGCATACGTATTGTGGAAACAATGTAGTGTTGTGGCTGTAAGCCAGTACTTTTCACATGAAGCCTAATGTGCAGCGCTGTCGCAAAGACGCAAACCAGTAACCATATATTATTCATTTCTTTTCTCGAATATACAAAAATTAATAACATCCATTATTATTTTTTAAAATACTGTATTATAAATATATTTTGTATAATATAGATCCATCCATGTTGTTTTGATAATATTATTCCACTGTTCTTTTCCCGTCAACCGAACTATGAAACTATTACTATTCCTTAACAAAACATTTTATATCTTCTCCTTCTGTTGAAACACGTTTCCGATCGAGAACGGTTACGGCAAGCAAGAAAAAACAACCCTGTTGACAGTCTCGACAATAAACTGTAAAACGCACCTCGCTTTTCCAGGATGGCCCTCCACGCCTCCCTTTCCTTAACCGTCCGCATCGGGATCTCTTTTTTCAACTGCGCCAACTTCTCCCTGACCACTTCCACGAGATTCTGCGGCGCTTTCAGCACATTAAACTCCGTGATCTGTTCTTCGTCTTCCTCCTTCTCCCATGTCTGCAGTATCTGCTTGATATGATCCACCAAGCGTATCCGCGCTGACATCTCCCCAGACCAACCCAAATGCTCTAACAGTCTCTGATAAATAAACCGCAGCTCGTCATCCGACAAGCCCCCCATGGCTATGGGTTCCGCCGCGTCTTTGAGCAGCTCCTCCAGAGATTCCATGTAGGATTTCTCCAGGAACAGCGCATGCTGGAGATTGCTGCGCAGTTCGCTGAAGATGTACTCGAAGAGCTCGTACTTCATTTCACTGAGCATTTCTTTGGGTGGGCTGGTAAGAGAATGCTGGTAAATGGGAGCAAGGATATGGGGATGGCTGAAAAACGTGAGGACGGATTTAAGGGCCGCTTCTTTCTCCAGGATCTGTCTGCGCTGCTTGTCATTGTCCCGGGTGGACGCCGTGAAAGATCGGGAGACCGTGGTCGCGTTGGATATGCTGCTGTTCTGTGTAGAATCATGATTACGGCTGGCATTACGCGAACTCATTATCGCAGCAGACTATGTCTTTACCAAAGAAATTTTCATGAACTAATTACAATAATTAACCAAAAACATTCAAACAGTTCTTCGAAATCAGTTGCGTTTGCAATCTTCGAAGACGAGAATGGCACTGGCGCACTGGCAGTGAAGGCACTGTAATAAAAAAAATCCTTTCATTTTTACAATAACCTACGTGAGCCTTCCTGGGCGGTTGGCATGACAGCCCGAAGTCACGGCAAAGTAGTGTATGTAATAAGCTTGTTTACTGCGACGGTCATTTTACCGGTACCGGCGGTACGGTTCAAATCACTCACTCCCATAAGTCTTTAGACGCAATTAACTCATTACACCATATTTTAACGTTCACGAGAAATTTATAAACTTTTGGAATAAAAAGGAAGCTCCGATTAATTGTCAGTAACAAAACTCTACGATCGCGAATTACGTAGTGTGCAAACTGGACACACAACGCAAATTATGAATTTAGTAAACGTACTCGTACTCGTATAAAGACTGCATGTACAACCGCTTTTGATGAAGCAGCTCGAACTTCTACAAGCATAATATAAATATTTGTTTACTAAACTCTACATCGCACTCCGAGTTATTTTTTTGTAATATGCCCATCCACGTTGGATGTAGCCTAATCCGCCGTATCCCTGATTATACAAGCCATTATTGAAGGGATAGCCGAAGCCGTTGTAAAGGCCACGTGGACCATACACGAGGTCACCATAATCCCCGACATACAGATCTCCACCGTAGGAGCCACCTAAACCCCCTTAGCCTGGACCGTATCCGCCTCCGTACCCGCCAGGACCGCTACCATAACCTGTTAATCCGTAGCCGAAACCCCCGTAGCCGCAGCCGTATGTACTTCCGTAGCCACCATATATAGCCATTACCGCTTCCGTAACTGTCGTAGCCCCTTCCCCGATTCCCGTGTACAATGGCTGCAAAGAAAATTAAACAGCATAATTATTATATAGATATTTAAACTGATCGAACACCTTCGCTAGCTGTTTTAAAATTTCAGATATAAATGCTTAATGAACCTTGAAATTAATTTGTATTGCCGGTAACTGATCACGAACTGCCAGATAACTTTGCTAGGTATAATTACGTGCGTGCTTAAAAGAACTAATTGTAACGATAAATATACTATACCCATAATGTAATTGCAAGCCCCATTCATGCAGCATATAGTATTCACAGATCAGACATTTTTGTACTAAGCCGCTGGATTTTTAAAGTAGTATTCACATTAATACAATTAGTGTATTTCTTAATGTTCAGTGTTAAATTGTAGCTAGTTAACATAGTGCAGCAGATGCGTGTTAATCTAATAACCAGCTAACTAAAAAAACTACGTGGCAGACTTGTAGCAAATCAGATGTGCCGGTGTCAGAACGGATTTTCATGTTTTGTGACTTTCGTCTCTAGCTTTACAGTCACTTTTACTTACCGATATACGAACATACGATAAAGATGACGACAAGAGCCATAACACAGCCCAATAATGTGGCCATAATGTTCATGTTGCTATTTCCTCCAGGTCAAAACTATTGCATTACCAGCGTCGAGCTCTAAAAGCCAAAAAGCGGTTACGAAAATTTGTCAAAATAAAACAATACTAAAGTGTTAATTAAGTTGTCAGCAGCACGTACGCGATTGTTGTGTGAATTAAACTTCCAGCAATTTTTATTTTAGCTTTATTACGAGAATAAACAGAGGCCGAGTCAACATACCTAATTAGTGTTCGTACAATTACAACTACAACAAAAGTACACGTACATGTACAAGATCAGCAAATCACAACATTATACTGTAGGCAAATGATGCCGCAAATCTATTTATACTGTCTGACTCTGCAACAATTTGTGCATGCAACGAAGCAATAAATACGTTTTTTTTCGGTTTTGCTTTTATTGTTTAAACTATTTTGTACAGTACAGGTACATCAATGATCAAGTTACGTATTTGCATACTCGTATATTATTATAAACGTATTGCTTGTCATAAGTTATAACCAGGATATTATAATTACCGACGCGCACTGTAACCTTTTGCAATTGACGAAATTGTCATAATTAGAAGCACCCTAATTTCAGCGTTCAACAAAATTTATGCAGTACGCACTATGCAGTACCCACTCTGTACTTGTATTGTACAATACACTCTATCTCCCCAATACAATACTAATACTGTAACACTGTCCGTACTTACTGGTAACACTGTCCATATTTTTTCTTTGGCTTATAGCGGTAAAGCTCGTACTCTAATTTTTTCCTACTCGAACCGTAATTAACCGCGGTTGGAAAAAAATGATTGCGAACGGTGCCTTTTCCGATAAAGGAGAAGTATGCACTCATCCAAAGACTCTCGGAAACGTTTTAAAACTGACCAACAACGTCCGCCTTACCAGGTTGAATCTAATCTATCTCGTACTTCTCACCATCAGTACTACTAATCTAATCTATCTCGTACTACATAGCCACCAGTCAACTAACTGCGTTTTAACAATGATAACGGTCAATAGTTACATGAATACTAACTATCTGTGCCAGGATTTCGGCCCCTCTCCTTTGGCGCCGGTGATCTCAGCTTCTACTCATTCAATTTTCCTGCTTTAAAATGCTTTAAAAACCTCCCGATCACGCGGGTGTTCTAAGACCAATCGATGTTGCCAGTTTGCAGAACCTCAAGTCCAGTGGTCACTCAAAAGCTTGTTACCATGGATGCCATTGGGCTAACATGGGCGGGTTCACGCTCGTGTGCTTACTAATTTGCAAATTTCCAGGGAGACAGCTTATGTTCTAACAATGTTGTAACATATTGCACTATTCTGATAAAAAAATCTGAGATAGTCGCAAGCCGATATTCATCCGTGCTCAGCTTGTATAATATTTAAATGCGACGAGAGAATACTTCGTATTGCTTTACAACTGGCTCGCTTAGACGCAGACCCAAAAATGTACAGTTCTCAGACAAAAAAGTTTATTAGGAAAGGGACCCGAAAAACCTTTTTGCGCACCGTTTGTAGGGCCTTCCTTGAATGTACCACCCGACTTTTTTTTGAAGGGCAATAATCAACAACCGCATTTCCGGAAGTAATAAATCAGACAAAATTTAACTGGCAAAAAATACTTTTCTACTTTCATGTTTCCAACTCGATCGAAATGATCATGTCAACAAATAACAACTGAGCGCTGCGCAAGCTCAGGACACTACAGAGTACAACGGAACACGACACCACAATAAAAGCTGAAAATAATGAAGTTCTGTACAAATTCTAGAGTACAGCACAGGATCGAATATTAAATTTGGACCTACAAAGACGGGAAACTGACGCTTACGCGCCCCAAAATTGTAAAATATACCAGCAATCCGGAACAACATTCAGATACAAACCACACATTACTCAGAAATCGACATGTAAAAATACAATACCGATAAACAAGCACAAAGCCACAATTCCCACAAACAATCTGCGTGCAGCGGCTGAGACTTTCACTCTGGATGATTCTGTTCAGCGTTCCCTGGATTGGAAAAATTTTAACTTGGTATATAGGTTTTCACTCTAGTTTTGGTCTTCAAATGTTCAAATCTTGAATTTTCAGGTTTGCGCTACATGTATCACAATACCATCTGTAACTTTTTCTCGTAAAATGATTCATTATGCATGATACGAAACGCGTAGCGGTATAACAATTATACTCTCGAAACCAATATACCCAAACCAAAAAAAAAAAACAGAGTCTGCGGCTACGTTGAATTATCTACCAGTTGACCGCTTCAACATCATAAATCGGCCAAAGGTTGTACATGTCCTTCAGATTTCAGAATAAAACGTGTTTTAACAGAAATGCCAAATCCCAGTCATGCTACTACATCGCAGCAAATTATACAACTAATTTTTCCAGCCATGGCTGGATTATTTACTAAAGGATTCAAAAGTTCAAGTGCCAGTTTACGCAAAAGATTTTTTACAGAAGAATGTACAAAATTTTGCAGATATTACAGCCACAGGTACAACTTACATCAAAACACCGACACACCAAATATCGGCGGTTTTGTGTTGGCGCGTTGTTATCATTTCCGGTGGCAAGTAATCCGGTGTACCGCAAACTGTGCGACGGTTTTTATTACCAGCTGCATTGACTGACCAACCGAAATCAACTCTCCGTAGCCTAAAACAGTGTGATAAAAAAACCTAACCGAGAACGACCAAATGCAAAATTTTCTAACAACCATGAAATGCTTACTACCCAAAAGCAAATTCTCAGGTTGGATGTCGCGATGAACAATGTTCTTCGAATGACAATAAATCAGCGCATCCGTCAACTCAGCGATATACTGTTCAGGATAAGAAAACGATTGTCACGATCAAAATTTATATCCCAACAACAGTTTTAACCATAAAACTACCCAACCACACACAAGCTGTAGTCCGTGGCCAACTCTTCAACTAATTCGAAATGGGAACGAAGGGAAAACTTGCCGAAACACAAAAATCGGTTCACGAAAGTGACAAAACCGACAGGAAAATAGAAAGCCAGAATTTTAATACACTTCATTAATTATTGTCATTAGACTCATTACAATGGTTATGTACATAGTACGCAATACTCAATACACATGTTAGAATTATCACGATTAAATTTTATCATTTTTTAACTGGTACGCCAGCATCAACTTTTCAAAAATTAGCAAAAAAAAACTTCCAATTGCCTGGAAAGACGTCTACAATAAGAGAAGCTGGCTATTGTAGTTGGATAAAAAAATGATCATAAAATAACAAATCCACCGAAATCTCCCTCCAGGCAATGTATAACTGTGGAATATCAAGTTTTTTACTACCAAAACACTTTTGTAAATATAGCTCACCGTAACTGCCTCCGGCTCCTGAAATCTTATAGCCGTTCGCAGTTTTTTAAACAGCTCCCCACACGCCGCATACTCCAGGATCAAATACACCCGCTGCTGATCCCAGAACACGCCGTACATCTGCAGAATATTGGGATGCCGCAGCCGTGCCTGGATCTCGATCTCGCGGCGCAGCGTCTGCTCCTGTTTATTGTCCAGCAGCTCTTTCTTGAACAGCACCTTCAGCGCCACAATATAATCCGATTTCTTCTCCTTGGCCAGGTAGACCCGGCCGAATTTCCCCTTGCCCAGGGGACGGCCGATGTCGAAATCTCTGTACGACCATTTGCGCACGGTTCTCTTTCTAGCGTCGTTCTCTTTGAAGGAGCCGGTGGATGTGGCGGATGCCCCGCAATCGGTGGACCGCGCGGAGGGAATGGCGGGGATGATCGGTCGGTTAACTGGTCGGCTGAGCGCTGGAGTTTGGAAATCCAAGGCTCGTCTGTTGCAAAAAGTCAAACGCAATCGCTATTTCGCTCTTTACGCTGTGCGTTCTATTTCGTTGCTATTATTTTACAGCAGGGAGCACCCGACCAAGCAAGGATGCGAAAGATAAGATTTCGACTTACTGCTCGAATCGCTGAGTTAAAATCGTGACGGTCTTCTTAATATCCATATCGCTCGGAATACTACTTCTATTATTTTATGAAAACTGCAAAGCTTCGACGCAACAATTTCTCAACCATGCGCAAACGACAAATTTAATGCTAGATTCCTTTGAAAATGCACAGGCCAACATAGAACTTGACAGAAATCAACACAAAACGATTACAAGAACAGAACCTGACGCATTATGATAACTTGGATAAAGTATGTAAAACTGTAACTGTAAAAAAGGCAAAACTGTAAAACCTAAAGCCTAAAGGCTTCGAAGCGTAAGAAAATTTCGTTTTTTCTATATTATGCGATTGCGTTTCACTTTTCAGGCTTTCAGTTTGCTTCATGCCTTCTAAGTTCTAACTTTCTAAGGTCTAGTTAACTACCGCGCCTCAGGTTTTATGATACTGGGTTGGTTTGACTTAAGCCACGTTTACCCGGTAAGCGCTATTCTCGCCAGGATGGTACCCTGTGGCGGTTGGCAGCCGTGCGCCTACGGTGCGCCGGGAAGTCATCGTAGGCCCATAACAATAAGTGCTTATCCCGGCACTTTTAAACAGTGCGCATTCGCAAACTATGTTGTTCGTTAATTGGGCAGATACATCAAAATTTATAGAAAACCATTCTCTGCAAACGAGGAAAAAATGTGTGATAAAAATGTTTACGGTATTCTTAAATTTAGCGCTAGTCCTATGACCATCGTATTGCATTACCGCCTCGAAAATTTCAGCACACGAACAGAAACAGAGCGAATGCACAATTCTCCTGTTGGCGCACTCCAAAATCCCTGTTTTGTTAGTGACGTCAAAATGACACACTGCCAGTTGCAGTCTCGGCGAGAATCACGAATGGCAAAGTTCACTGTAAATAATGCCGCACTTCAGCCACGCCCCAGCGCGTTAAACCAGAAAATCCATATCTAAAGAAGTAAGTATGCAGCAGGTTCAGAAATTTTACTGCGGAATCATGATGTTCTGCACCTAAATGCACTCAATAAACACAATAAAGGCGGTAATTACAAGGCATCATTTCCTGTGTGCGTCACACAAAAACGTCATAAAACATCACAAAGCGATCCCATCATTATTAATCACATTATTAAAACTCTTCGTTCCAACTGCTAACTGTTGAGGTGGAGTCGGTGTTTACAACTTCTTGATTTGTTCTGCGTCGTCAATTCCACTCGCCTCGCTTACATTCCACGGACATGCCACGCTTTTCGTACGCAGGTTTGTTTTTACTGTAAATCAAAAAAGGAATTTGAGTTCACAAGAAAAACCAATAAAAATGGAAAAACTGAGCAGTGATATCTCTTTCATACCTACACCCTTCATACAGAAAAATTCGTACGTAATGTAAAGGTGTACGGAACTCACCAGTCAGAGGTATTTTTTTCAAGTGTACACTGTACAGTAATTTTGGTACTCGTACGAGAGCATAGTATTACCGTGCAGACGGATTGTTTTTGTGGCAATTTGAATTTTAATCGTAAATTTACGTGAACAGCACAACTGACATACCATACCGAGGCGGTGAGCATGCGACGGGCAGTGCTGGCAGTACTTTGTTCAGTGTGATTGCTTCCAAATTGCGTGCAAATTTTAAGTATTCAAAAATGCTCAACTTTTTGTATTCTCAAGTCAAAATTGAATCCATAGGCTTAAAAAATGCGTAATAATACATACTTTTTGGTTGAAAGAATGTATTTTTGTGCTTTTGTGCCAAAGCAATGTTATGACCGTAAGAATTTAGCATACTCATCTATGGCAAACCTGGTGCTGGATTTATGCATTTTCCCATAGAAGACTATGTTAACTGCGGAGAGTCATATCATTACTTTGTAATCAAAATAAAAAAACTACATCCATGCAGCTGTAACAGACAATGGCGAGGAGATCACGAGTGTGTCTTTATTGACAAATAAAGGCTGACAATGCTGCGTAATAGCAGTGAGAAAGAACCAAGGCGCTGATGGCCGAATCTAGCAGGTGTCCGCTAACAGGGTTCTTGAGCGTCTGTCAAGGCGTGAAAGAAGCAACTGGCGGCAAGCACGTGCTGTGTGCCATCAGCTGTGTGATGATGCGCAGACTGGACTCAATCCAACGCGAGCGTATGAACGCTGAGTCATACTGCGAGAGAGGAACGAGAGAGCAAGTATGCTCAGTGTGTGCGCTGCGTATATCCGCTTCAGCGGATGAGTGCAGTGCAGCAGCACACGTACGTACAACGAGAGAGGCGATAACGGCAAGAATGAGTGCAAGCACGTCCAGTGTGGACCGTACGCACCAGGCGCAGTCATACGCCTCTGACACAGCCAAAAGATGTATTTTTTAAGCCTATGGATACAATTTTGGCTTAAGAATAAACAACGCTGAACATTTTTAAAATCTGCACGTAGGTAATTTAGCAGCAGTCACACTGAACAAAGTACTGCCAGCACTGCCCGTCGCATGCTCACCGCCTGAGTACGTTATGTCAGTGGTGCTGATCACGTAAATTTACGATAAAAACTGCCACAAACGATCCGTCCGTCTGCACGGTAATACTATGCTCTCCTCGTACGCGTTTTGGTGACTTATAGAGCGTGTACGTATGGAAAAGTGTCCATATCACGGATGTTTTACTGTATAAATCTGTAGTCAAAGTGTTCACGATCGGCTGCTGGTTTGGTTCACTTACGTGATTGTACTTTTTACTTGATCCGTTGAGCCGGGAATGCCGCGGATGCGGAACTTTAACTCCTGGACATTGGCTGGCAGCAGCTGCGCATCAACGTACAACATAACGTGACCAGTAAGCTGAACAGCGCGCAATTCCGTTAAGACTTCCTGAGCAGTTGGCTTTTTCTATAAACAAACTGTAAGCATTCTAAAATGGGACAGGTAAACTTCATTCAAAATTAAAAAATATTCATGCTAAAAAATATTACTTAATTAGAATTACTACTTAGGCCTTGTCCCGAATTCAAAGCGAATCTTGGTGCGACACAGCAACTCCAGCTCGCGAGGTGGATTCGCGTACCGTATCTGTAGTCTGTAGACGAGGCCTGCATACAGCCACATCGTGTGGTTGAGCATCCATACCAAACCTGCTTCGAATAGTAGGGATCTGTGTTGAGCGTACGCTCCGCCCACCGAATCGAGATGGCTGAGACAATCTTACTTTTACATGAGCCGATGGTGTTTTCGGGCTCTCTTTTGTTTCTTCGGCTTGGACGTCTTGGTGCGCCCAAGCTGTGTAGTGTGTACTAATTAAAGCTTGCTCTATTTGTTGAGTATTTTTGTGTTTTTTTGTACGATGAGGCGCACAGTAGTTATTCCTTGTTTAATTATCAACCCTACGGGGCGGACGGGCAAGCCGACTCCAAGCCTTGATTTGAACTGAACTGAACTGCACAGTTTGTGAAGTGTTGATTGGTTGAAATCAAAAGGACCTTTAATAAGTATCACGTGAAAGTACAAACTAAGTACTAGAAAACAGAAGTTTGATTAAGTATGCAAACGAGACAGCGGCAACTACTGCTCCTTAGGGGTGAACTGCCATTCACGCACCCCGATGTTAGGGGGCCAGTTGTCTGCCGTGAACATTTTTTCAGACTCACTGGCGTAAGAACCAACACGTGCGAACAAACTATTCTTACGACCCTTTTTAGCAGAATAAATTGAGACAAATCTGACAGAGATCCCGATGGATTCGATGGTTGCCTTCAAATCCCTACTGTAGTCGTCAGGGGTCTGGTGCTCAGTCTGCTCCAGCGGGGGGATGCCGTGTAGACAGAAATCCTTTTTCTCTCTTTCCTTGTCGGTTTTAGAGACACGCTTAAGCTGTAGGGTCGACATGATGATGTCATTTGAAGCGTTAGAAGCCTTCTCGCGAGTACCGCGAACCACTTTTCCCTTTTTAACGATGGTTGTCCAGGATTCTTTGGTAGCGGGCCCACTCAGAGGGGTTTCATCGAAGCAAGGAGGGGAAACCTTGCAGTCAGGGGTTGACGCTTGTGAAACTTCATTGGACGGGAAACCTTTCACTGGTGTGTCGACAGGTGTCGTTGTGGTGGATCGAAACCCGGAGGGTTGAGGAACTAATCCACCAGTTGCGACGGTATTCGTAGGTAATTTGACAGTGGTTGCTTTCAAGGCTGTAACTTCGTCCCGGAGTGCCTGCAGTGTTGCAGAGGCCTCATCGTACCTTTTCTGTCGTTCTTGTAATTCGCGTATCTGGGCCTTCACCGTAGTTAGCTCTGCATTAAGGCGCTTGTTCTCTTCCACGATCGGGGTGATAAGCGGGGAGACTTGGGCCTGGAAGCACTTGGTAATCAAGCCGTTCAAATCCTCGTGGTATACAGGGTACTTTTGTACGCATTCCAGATCGCTGTCTATGGCTGGGATCATCTGTCGTATCAAAGGGATAAGCTTGGTAAAAGACCACTGATCCTTGGCCGTTCCATCAGGGAATAGCTTGGCAAGTTTCTCAATGGAGAAAGGCTCGTAGCCATCATCCTCACTGGCATTGTCAGGCATGGTTGTCCAAAAGGGGAGCACGGGTCCGGCCCCAGATCCGTTGACAATGAATAAATCAGCCAAACAAAAATTGTAAATGAATACCAAAAATAAATTCGTGCGAAAATATCGTTTTGGCTTGTTTCGTGTGTGATGATCAATGATGTCTGCCAATTTTCTGGTCCAAAAGTGGCTTATTGTTTCCGATCTTGTACTTCGGCGGAAGAAAATTCATCCGTACGTTTGGCGTAATTCATTCATGCCAACCGCAAAAATAGAAACAAATTTGGCAGATAAAAAAATCTGAGCTTGTAAACCTTTTTGAATTGAAATGACTCAATCAAATGAGTGTGGGCTACACCAGATCATCTATTCGAGACGAGGCCTTATATTAATGTGCAATCAGTCAAAATTAAAACTGTTCATACAAAAATATGTCAAACCTACCTCAGCGAAAAGCTTCCGAAGCTTCTCGAAGCCAACAGGGCCATACTTCACCGAACCTACGAAAAAATAGCAAAATCTAAAATACAGAATATATCCGAAACTGTCAGATACGTAGTGATAGAACTTATTTTTACTTACGAATAGTGAAGATCAAATACCAAGGGTCCGGCTCCGCTAAAATGAAATAAAAATCGAGCTTTAAGGAAGAAATTTAATTAAAATAAATGCGTATTAAATTTTCAATAATAATATAACTACTGCTACTAGGAAAACGCACCAGTGGGTTCATTGTAAGACCGAAGCGCAGCGCTTAGCATGGCATCTTTTCCGAGTCTTAACAATTTTGAAAGCTTAAATCCTTTCGTTGCTTAATATGCTTCAAAAGGTTTCATATGCATTGTTTAACAAACATGGCAAAACAAAAATTAAACGACAGAACGATAAAAATTAAACGACTGTGTTACACTGTTACTGATATAAATAATTCTTAAATTCTGTTAAAAACCAACGAGGAAAAAAATAAAAGGTAGCAAAAGTGTTATTCAGTTTGCGTACCGTCAGACTCGTCACCCCACTTCACCAGCAACGCCCGACCGCCCAGCATCAAGCCACAGACGCTCTGGATCGCATTAGCAGCATCATCCTTATCCTCGAAGAAGACGTAGCCGAAGCGTGGCTTGTCACTGCAGGTGGACATAGTGACATCCAAGACTTTGCCGTGCTTCTCGAAGATCTCCTGCAGTTTCTCCTTGGAAATGCTTTCAGCGATTTCGCTCACGCGCACCGAGAACCCACTCGTCTTCTCATCTCGGATCGGCGTACCCTGGAAGGAACTGCTGCCGCCAGTAGAAGATCCTCCCTCAGAATGTTCGCCAGTGTTATCCATGGCCGTAGCTGTATTTGTAACGCCGGTGCGGATGCCGAATCAAACTGGCTGTTTGAGTTTTATCAAATGCTTTCGATTAACTAAAATTAAAAAAGGTACAAAATTATATATGACTTGTATTACTTACGGAATTTACTCACCTCACACAGACAGCCGTTCATTTGCTCAATTTTGCTGGCTGCACTGTGCGGGTGGCAGTTGCTGCTTGTAAGCAACGAGTACTGTACTTGCACAAGCCAGCTCAAAAATGCTAACTCGACTCACAACACACTTGCGATTTTGCAGTTACAGTATTTTCACGATTTTTTTCTGCATTGCCACTTCAGCTCATTAGCGGTCACTGAACTATATCCTAGTCCCAAAGTTCTGCTTCTGATTCACAAACCAGGTGCACAAGCTACTTGGCCTTGTGATAAGGCAGTAGACATCCACATCAACGATGTCAGGTATCATGGACGAGGGTTTCAGCGACGAGGAAAACATGCCCATGCAGTCAGGTCCCGCTCATCCCGCTGCAGGGCACCCACACGCCAACCATTCCCAGTCCAACAACGTCCACCACTTCCCGGCCGTGTCCCCGCCGCCCGCGTCAGCCGGCGGGAACATGATGAACATCCCGGACGTGGTGATGCAGGACGACCCCGATCTGGAGTACGCGCTGGCCGTCAGCATGGCCGATCGGGGATCCGATAAGATGGATTATCGCGGGGCCTTCGGGGGACATCATTCGCCGTTGTATGCCGCGGAGCCGGATGTCTTTCTGCCATTGAACGAGCCCGAAGTACCCATTCTGCCGTTGGAGGATATGAATTTCGTCATTGATACCATCCCCATCGTGAGTGGCAGAATTTGTGCACTTTACGAGTTTAGCCGTTTAGCGCTTCTGATATTTTAAGTGTTAACATAATTTTTTGATTATGTTAAAATTATTTTGATCGCTTGCTATTTTAATTTGTAACATAATTTTTATAATTATTTTGTATTAAAGTTTTTTCTATAAATCGTAAGTCACGTTCAGGGTTTCTTTTGGAAGTTTACTTGCAGAGTAGTGCTAAGCAAGAGAATATCAGCGATTTAGCTTTCATGATTGCAGCGCCTTGACTGTTTTGCAAACTCGAACTGTTGTTAATTGTTAAATAGTTTACATAAAATATCGTACTGCTACACACTTGCAGAAAATTTTCTGGATATTTTTATAGGATTTAGACACTTTTGTGGGGAGCCATGCGGGCATCAGCAAAACTCAGCGTCTGTTGCACATTGCCAAACACTGTCCGCCGCTGCGTGTGGATGCCTTCAAGATGGTGCTGAAGCATTTGGTGGAAACATCGCAGGATGTCACACTGTATCATAAAGTCTACGACGATCTCAAGGCGGCACTGGCGTAAGTTATCGTTTAGTTGGCCTTATGTGTTTTCCGCTGATTTATGTACAGACAGTTGCATGAGCGTATAAAAACGTATTCAAACAGTTACTTTCAAAGTATAAAATTGCTCTCCATTTATTTTTTAATTTTTTCCTCACTTTTTTTATCAGTCAAGTTTTCTCGTCTTGTATCCGAGAGGTAGTGATTTATTGGTGGTTTCTCGGTTTGCATCGCGGTGTATTTCGTGTTTTGTTTTTAGTCTGGGTTTTTAGTAGTTATTTGAACTAGATTTTTATTTCAACCGTTATGATTGTTTGTGTAACGTTTAGAAGAATTTCTTTTTGTTTTCAGGGCGAACTTGAAAGGCGAAGATGGTGATGCGACACTGCCACGTATGGAAGAGAACTGGATGCGTGAGCAGAAGCGTGCTTTCGATACCCGCCTGGATAAACTGGATATCGACCTGAAGAACTATAAGACTAATTCTATTAAGGAGAGTATCAGGTGCGTGGGCTTTCCTAATTTCTGAACGCTGTTTATCTGCTTCTGTTGTGTATTGTGATGTTCATAATGATATTTACAATGTTTTGGAAAAGGGCTCACCATACCGTCGCGTTAAAGTTGCTAACTTATCATTTTTGGAAATTTTTAATTGCGTTTTTAGTAGAGAATGTGATATTCGCAGACGCGGCCACGAAGAAATCGGGAATCATTACTTGAGCGCTGGGGACGCCAGCAACGCCCTCAAATCCTTCAACAAAGCCCGTGACTATGGGGAAGGCTTTAAGGAGCAAGCGCAGACGCTGGCTAATCGTTTAAAGGTATATTTGTTTGGTTTATGTTTTTCCTTTCTTTCGGTACCATTTGTTATAAAAAATGCATTTTCGCTTTTACAGGCTTGTGTATATCTCCAAACGTTTCCCAACGGTAAAAGTCTTGTTGAGCAGATGAAAGATGTGGGATTGCAGATGGAACGAGGGGTAAATAATGCCTACTTTAGGCTGCATTTAATTACGGCACAATTTTGTAATGTCCTTCTTAGATTTAAATTTGCAATAAATTGTGGTTAAATTATTCCTCGGTGCTTAGACATACAGTGAATTTTGACATTCAAAAGGTTGCGTATTTGCGTTAGCGTAATTCTTCTTCAATATGCGTGTGGTACATTAGTTCATAGAATACGTTGTCGAGATTGCACATAAAATTGCTGAATTAAAAATTGTGATAATCAGACAGCGTTTAATTTTTCTCTTAGCGAGAGGCTGCCAAAACGAAAGACAAGGAGCCGAACAGTGCAGCTGGTGGCGCCGCTCCCGCGGCACCGGTGATCGACAAGAAACTGGAGACCTCGTGGAATCTCATTAGGGCCTGCATTGCACTGTACCATATGTCCACGGGCAACTTCAAGGATGCTGCTGATCTCTTTATTGCGCTTAATTCGGAGTATTGTGAATTTCCTATGGTAAGTCGCGGGAAGTGCCGAAATCCGAGAAGATAATTACAGACTATCGGTTTTCTTGGTCGTTTCCCATCTGCATGGGAAAGTGGGCCCTTCGGCTTTCTCTTAATTATGCTGTAGCTGCGTGCTGGTTGATCCTGATTTGCTATGGCTTCAGAAAAGTTGTGGCGTTTTCCGTTAATATTATTATTTCACCGTGAAGCGGTAAATTGCTGTCTTTCTTAAAGACGTTCCTTGTTGTTTTGCATGGTCGAAGCAGTTCCACTAATCTACTTTATGCGATTATTAATTGCATTTTTTGTTGCATTTTTTCCTGAGTGCTTTTGTTAGCAGGTGTTTGCAATCAGATTTATTCAAAGATTACGCGGCAACATTTATTCAGAGTGAAACTGGAAGAAAATAGTGTTGTAGTTTTAATATTAGCACTGATTTGCGTTGCAGGTTTTGACCGGGCGGGATATTGCTATTTATGGAAGTCTGTGCGCCATAGCGACATATAATCGCCAGGACTTGCGGGATAAAGTTGTGAATAACAAGTATGTAATTGGCAGGTCATGGCACGGTTTATGTGATTACATAATACTGACTTACTTGCAACAGGAGTTTCAAGAGCTTCCTGGAAACTGCACCGGAAATCCGTCGCCTGGTGGAGGTGTTTTATAATTCCAAATTCCGTGAATTTCTCAAGGCATTCGATGAGATCAAGGTCAGACAGTTTATTTGAGTAACAACATGGACGACATTAATTGCCTACGATGCGTTCAAGTATCAAGCAAAATTTAATCGAATTTAAAAAATCAAAGATATTATGTTCGTGTTGTTCAGAAAGTATGCAGTGTTAACTGTAAGCTGATTGTTCGTGCTATAAATAAGCTGACTGCTAGTGAGATTCCTGGTAGTTGCCAGTGCTCTACGATTTTCTCTAATTTGTCCTATTTTAAATTTTCGTGCTTTTTCCCAATTAATTTCACATGAGAATGTTTTGCACCATTCTAGAACGCTTTGATGTTGGATGTCCTGTTGGCCCGTCACGTGGAGAAATTGCTGCAACATGCGCGTCGTCACGGCATCACCGAGTACTTCCGCTGCTATGCCAGTGTGGCGCTGGCGGAAATGGCCGAAGAGTTCCGCTACACGGTGCCGGAGCTACAGGATGAACTGACCAAAATGATTATGGACGAGCAGTTGGACGCGCGCATCGACTCCCTCACCCAGACGCTGAATCGCCAGGAGAAGAACGTCTTTATGGAAACGGCTTATAAAATCCAGCAGAATGTGGAGACACTGCGGGATCATATGCGTTTCGCGCTTATTCGGACAAGTATGGCGCGCAGTGGACTGATTTTACGGGTACGTTTAGCTTTGGTTACTTGTGTACGTAATTAATACGGGCACATAGTAGATGCCACCGGCATGGATGCTTGTGTTGGCTAAATCGTACTGTTGCGGATTTCTCTAGGAAGAACGCTTTTCTGAAAAATCACTCCTCCCTTTGCTGAGCGTTAGTTATTAATTAACCACCAAAGTCGTAGTGCAGTGGTTAATAGCCACTAGTTTTGTGATCATTTCTTAACCTTCGTTAGTAATTATTCTAAGCTGAAAATTTGAAAAACCTTTTTTTTACATAGTAATATTTTTATTCAACAAAAAAAAATTGTCACCTAAACACCATATGACTGCCGAACTGGTGTAATATTAGCGTTTTTGGTAGGTTGTTGTACGTGTTTGTCTGCCTGGCTTTAAGGGTTGCATTGGCGTAGATCGTTAAAGGTTTCTTATTCAATCAGCATCGCGAATAAATCCAAGCCGTAATAGTTTTGACGCTAATATTAGCCAATACCCGAGCCGCGGCTATTTCTGCCGGTTTCAGCTTAATCCTCATGGGATTCGACGAAACCCATTAACGTTAACCTTGTAATGAGCCCGCGCTTGACGAAGACCCGTTGGCGTTGGGGAAAAATAGAGCAGTTTGCCGGTGACGCACTAACACACATGCGCGGTGAAAATTGTGAATGTCGTCTTGTAGGGTGCACGAGCGGAAGAGCAGTCGTCTGGCGTGCTGTAGATGCCGATCGGGACGGAAACGGGACGCGACGACGCCGTGCACTGCGTCACTTGTCAGCGATCGACGCTTTTTGGCTTACAGATCCGATGGGTGCGTTTCATGTGTTTTTTTGCTTTTGTTTTACGATTTAGCTGATTTGCAACTCGATTAGAATTTGATTGCAACTAGCACGGAAATCAACATGTTTTTTTTCTGCTGACTGTGTTTCCTTTGGAATGGAATTGATTTGTATAGATTCCGTTTGATTTGATTTATTAGTAAAATATTCAAGAAATAAAAAGATTTCAGAGTTATTACCGGAATACATATTAATTACATTTCCCGGTTTGTCTTCGTTGGTTTCATTTACTGGTAAAAAAGAAACAAGAAAAGAAATCATTTGCTACATATAATTATGAAACCAGTTGTATTGTTTTGCCTTTTACTTTGCTTCGCATATTTTATCACTGACCCGCTGTGCTACGATAGCGTCTTGCTTGAAGTTGTCCTTGCCAAGTTTGTTATTGTACGTACATTAAAGAAAATCCGAACCGAAAAATATTTTTTAATGAAAACCCTAATTGTTTCGTATATCAGTTCTAGCTTCACCACAGTTCAGTTGTTCCGTACGCTCAGTTTTTTTATACGAATCCGTAAACCTACTTCATGCGATCGATATGCATTATTAAAAGGTTTATTTTCTTGGAAAATATTCTAATGCTCGACATCTCGTGATTGTATTTATTTTTTACAAATCGAAGATTGACGTTGCCTGCTTGTTTGTCGAAAATGTCCGTGTTCATCACGGCGGATCACGGAGGATATGGGCCAGGGACGGGGTCCGTTTCTGACGGCAAGTGTTATTGAAGTGGATAGGAATGTCGTTAGCGGGATTGGCCCAAAGTGATCAATCAAATGCTTAATTGACACATTATTCTCTGTACATGTCTGGCGCGCCGGTCTACGGGGTCCCAGGCGTTAACCCGGTACGGAGAATGTTGACAATATCGGAACAAATGAAGCATCTCCGCAGAAGCACACATTCACACATGCACTTGAATTCCTGCCAGACTTCCGCCGCCGCTTTGTAGGCTTCCCTTTTTAAATGTCGCGCGGGATGTGAAACCCGTGCAAAGCAATAACTGTACAAAACGGTCTGCGACACGGCGGTTGGCTGCTATTCGTAACTCGTGATGAGCATTTCCGGTTGCAAATTGATAAAGAAATATTTTACCTTCTGACCGTATTATGAGTTGTAATTGCAGATATTGTACCTCTCAAACGATCGCTAGCGAGCCTGGTACATACTTAATTTCCATACAATATGCGTAATAATAAGTAAAATAATAGCAATCTCGTGATTAGAGCATACTATATTCAAAATGCGGTAAATTACCACATACAGTAAGTTTACTTACGTTTACAGTAAGTTAAATTACGTCAAAGGAAGTATTTTCAGCAGTATTAATATCAAGCAAAATTATGTAAAGCAAATAGTGTATGTATAATACTTTATAAAAATTTTACACTGCATTGGCTAGTTTCCGGTTAATAAATTTTCGGCTTCCTACTTAATCTGCAGAATCGATTCATAAAATTTAATAAAGTTTTCTTAATTACTGCATCGTTTCTGAATTGCATAAATACGTCTGCAATTTTTTATGCACAATAAGACATCAGTATCATAGTGACCGTGTTATTTTAATCTTGATGCTGTGCAAATTATGAGTAAATCAAAAAATGTCTGTTAAAATAACCACAAAGAGAAAACTTGATTTATCTGCACAAATCAGTTAACTACATCTACACAAAACCACGCGTCTAGCAAGTAAAAGCATCGCAAGTTAGACAAAATGTCCAGACTTTCGTCTATGACCAACCACTGCACTACGAACTACTCTGTACATCCCCACAAATGGTCTTGACCTTGTGCATGGTTGCCATACCATGATCATTGCAACCGGCCGGGGAAATGACCGCGCAGTTTGTTCCAAGAATGACAAGACAATGTCCTGCGTAGTCTGGAAACCGTTTCCCTATGCAACACAGCTGAATACTGTATACATACCATTCTCGTTACGAATCATGCATAATCAAGTTTCATAACTCAGCCTTGCAGCTAATTAGTTGTGTTATCGTGTTGCCACTTCTTGCCGGCAGTCCGCGTGATTCTCGACATTTTAGCTGACTAGCTACCAAACAAATGCACCAGGCACGCTTTGTTTCTTAAGATTCCCCACTATAGTGAATGTCAAGAAGGCGCGCCGTCAACAACAATATTCAGCAGATGACACGGGAATTTTTGTTTGTTAAGGATTGGCTTGTTTGTTTGAACCCGGCATAGTTGACCTTTGCGTTTGGTAATTAATTACGGAAGAGATGTTTGTCTCGTGCTTACCACATACTGCAAGGTTTTGATTTCTTGGTGTTACGGAACGATAAATTTAGTTCGTTAATCATGTTAATAAGGCTTCAACGAAGTTCCCTCTTTGACCTTTAGGTCATAGAACGCAAAGGTCAGCTGCACGCGTATGCACATCATGCGTGCTGTCTGTCAGTCGATGTTTTGTTGTTTTTATTGATTGTTGCATATTAGCTGCTTCAGCCTGCTTATGTATACCGAAATGTCATCGAGAAAAGGCTTTCAATTTGAATGTGATTGCAACGGAAAAGGTGAAGCACCAATGGGTGGAAATCTGCTCTTGCTGTTTTTAATTTTGTCTTGTTTTGCAACCCACATAAATCGACTGTTTTAAGTTGAAGAGCAAATTTATAAATTCATTAATGCGAATATTAGCCACTACATTAGAGAATTAAAAGATTCGATATAATATTGCGTTTTATGTACGGATACTTCCTTTCATTAACGGGAAAGACGCGCATAGTGATTTAATTAGGGCATCGTTAACTCATTTCTTAATCACGAATTCATCGTTGTTAGGAACGATAATTCCAATTGCGTACAGCCTCTGTCCCCTTGCGTCATAGGCCTCACTGCTTTCTGTGCCAAATTGTCTGGAAAAATAGTTACATCATAGAACGAATTTTGCTCGACGGTAGTTGGTTGCGTTCCTTTATATCAAATTGCTGATTTCGTGTTTAGCAATTAATTATGCACAAATTCCGAATAAACAAAATTATTAGTAAAATTGATTTTTTATTTGTTGCATTTCCATAAAACTATTTTTGCATCTGCGCACGAGCAGCTTGATTTTTCTAGCAAAAGATAAAGGCGTAGATTACATTTTAGCGGGATCGATTTTCTGGGTTTGTCTTTGAATTGTAAAATACATACGTAATCTTTTATTGTAATTTGATATCCACTACACTAAGCCGTGTATATATTTATACACAATTGCAATAAGTAGTGCATTATTGCGCAGCTTTCATACTGAATCAAATGATTAGCTCTCCATTCATACATTACGAGAAAATTACCATTATCGCTTCCCAATCCCATCCCGAAAACAAAATAACAAACAGATTTCTCTGAAGCCGGTGCGCAGCGCATCTCGTGATGTACGGTAAAGCGGGATGATGTGTCAGCCGGCATTCAAGAAAATCTGCCGATGATTCGCACACAATCACCACCGCTTACCGGCACTAGCGCCCTTTCCCCGCAAAACAACCTTTTTACCACCGGCATAATAGTACACACGCGATAATTATCCGGGATAATTGTGGGACGCGTCACACCACATAATGCAACAAATGACCAGATATTCCCGCTGTGCACGCGCTATCGGTGATTCTGTGTATGTAATTCCCATCGCGATGTACAACACCCGCCCTAACGCAGCCGCCTCCTTCCGCACTACTGATTGGCCGGAAGCTGCCGAGTGATCTGCCGGTCCAGATGCCAAGGCGGGTATATATATAAAAAGCCGGGTAGAGTGGAAACTGTTTCAAATTCCTTCGTCGATTACACAGTACGGCTGCTCTCTTCCGTCATCGACGATTCGTAAACGCTGGTTTTATGATCCTTTTGACTTTTCTCCATTGCACTAGTTAATTTTAATGCCCTTGAGTTGACCGAGTTAACGGCTATAAAGCGCTCGGTTATTTTTCCCACTTCGCCTATAAAAGTATTTTTTATTCAGATTTTTTTTACTTTCATTTGGAGATTTATAATATAATAAATTGCATAAATTCCCTGGAAATCATGGTCATCAGCGGTGGATCCCCGAAGCCCATCGCCTCGCCCCGGAAACGCTATGATAGCGGCGCCAGCGACATGCTGGAGCTGGCGGCAACCGGTAACTCCCTCTCCGCTTCCCTCCCGGCCAATGTCAATTTAGTCGGTTTGGATGAAGTTCCGGTGTTGGCCAGTATCACGTCCACGGAACGCCGCAATGGTCTCTATCCCAAACTGGATGCGGAACTGCCCCGCCCCCGCGTGTCCTCTCTAAATACCCGGGAAAAGCCGAGCGGATTGCAAGGTCGGCGGCGCATTAAGAATAAACTGCGGGACATTTTCAAACGTGGATCATCCAAGAATATTATCCACAATATGGACGGCTACCAGAACGGGGGACTGGGCGGTGTGGTGTTCAGTGATTCGATTGATGTGGAGGACCTGGATCTGGAGGAACCGGGTCTGGGAGGACCAGGCCAAAGGTCACGGCATGATAGCCGAGGGGACAGTCGCTCTGGTAAGCTTTTGCATAAGTAAATATAAAATAATCTATTTTTTCTCTAGGGAAAACTTGAGTAGATGCCGGTATATTTCACCACGTAAACCAAACCGAAAATAAACTATAGAGCCCAGACTTACAAACGCTGCAGAATTTTTTTTTGCAATAATTATGCGATTATTTAAGTGCTACGCTAAGTTACTGGTAATTTTCTGATATTGACGTTCAACTTTAGTAAGAATAAAATAATGAAAAAACTTTATTGATTGAAAATGAGCGATTTGAAGAATAACCAATCAAGCATTTTTTATAATTGTAAGAATGCCGAGGCACTGCATTCATGAGGCGGTGAATTGCATCTGCCGTACCGAGTGCATGCCGTACATTTTGCGATAAAAGGAAATTATCGCGATAATCCAGCACATGCGGTTGTGTTATATGCAAATGTATTCCCGATGAAATTCGAGTAAATTCCACGCATTTCCGAGTTCCGACATGAGTGCTGATATGGTCGGCCTGTGCTCAGTGCTGCAGTCGCTGCATTTTAACTGGAAATGTTGATTAGGGGCTTCCTTGGTCGGTTACATAATATCAACTGTTTTTATTGATGTGGCATTTTATCGCGGCTAGAAGAATAATAAACAATCATGCACTTTCCGGCCAGTTGATTTTTGTTTATAAATTTCTGTCAGCGCGGGGTGCATATCCAGGATCAACACGTGGGATCTCTCACTTATAATTACAAAGTTTAGTTTCCGACGCAGCGGATGTCTGTTTCAATAAAGCTAAATGTAAAAAGTTTTGAGTACCGGTTTTACGAATTAGAAGTACTTATGACGAATGGATATAACATGCGTGTTCGATTCACATTTTTATATATGTGGCACTAACCTACGCCCCACATGGCACATGGTCCGAAAACCTGCCACTGCACTACAACGTCTTTCTTTTTCTATTTGCTTCATTTTAGTGCTCTCTAAACTCATGGTTAATAATTCCATAGTTTATTAGAATTTTTCGCTAACCAACTGAAAAGACTCCAGCATATAAATTTAACTTAACGTCTGCATTTTACTTTACGGTATTCGTCTATATTACAGCTTCCAGCGCCAGTACACGTCGCGACTCCGAAGACTCCGGCAGCTCGCACAGCGGCAGCCAGACTCCGCGCCGCCGGCATCTCGGTGCCGGTCAGGTCATCCGGAAAATCCATGAAAAAGCTCTGGACATCCTGGACAAACTGGGCCTGGCCACGCAGGAATCCTTTGATTCCACGGTCACCACCGAACGCGTCACCGCCGCCCAGATCCAGGAGGAACGGGAACACGCTCGCGAGGTCATCGAGTCCTTCACCGAATTCGGCCAAGTGACAGCCACCACCGATCCGGAGGAAATGGAACTCCTGGGCATCACCCACGTCCTTCCGGCCTATCTGGACGTCCCAGAGGAAGGCGAAAGCCGGTTGCGTCCGGTGTGCAGTAGTCTCAATCTGGAGGCGGCCGAGGTCAAACAGTGCAAAGCGCCGGAAGCGTGCCCATTCTACGACTTTTTACAGCGCAAAGACAAGCTGAGCCCGGTGGACGCTGAGCGCCGCGTCCCGGTGGCGGAGGAGCGGACGGAGCCGTTGGAGGGTATGGAGGTCATCAACTACGACAATCCCTATCGGTATCGGTCGGCCACCACGGAGAGCAAGCGCAAACGATGAAAAGTGAACTGGCCTTAATGAGCTAACTGATCGGTGACCTTAATGAGACCGGCTTGTTTGTGCGTATGGCCGGCGGTGCGGAAAACATTTGGTGCTACATTGTGAAAACAAATTTTTCAGAGTATTATGCGGATTTATTGTAACGTACATCCTGTATAGAGCGGTTGATGTTTGTTTGTACAGGCTTTAATTGATGCACAACACGGCGTATGCGTTGTCTGTTGATTCCTTAGAGAATTCCCGTTTAATCGATCCCGGCTAGTTTTGTCTGCGAGCGTCGGGCGTCAATTGAATAAAGACCCCGGTGTTATTTAACAGATTTTCCCCGTTCACTTAAACCAGCAGTGTGCAAAAAACAGCAATTAACACCAAGTTCATGAACTACAAGTAATTTGCAAGATCATGTTTGCTGATACATGTGTCGTACAATTTATCCTGTTTGTACCAAACACATGAATGCTTTCGCGGAAAACAAATTACACAGCAAACTAAGCGACAAATTACGTAATCGCCAGTTAATTATTAATGCATATAAACTACAAATAAAAGCCTAACAAACACCAAAAGAATACATTTTGCTGTAATTAATTTCGACCACGCACTTAATATCATGATTAATCATCAGTAAATTAATAATGCATTCAAAATATAAATAAAAGCAAATAACAAGCAACGTAGAATATATTAATGCTACACAGTGCTAATTTCAGCTGTGCATCGAGCTAAAAATTACTTTAAACTTTCGTAAACAACGAGGTAACCGTAAAAACAGTTTTGTTTTTGACAAGATCAGTTATAAATCATGTCACATGGGCGCGTCATCGGCAACAAAAAAGCAATCTCGCCCGTGAATGGCGCGTGTAATGTGTCGCGTTATGGCATAAACTGCGCTGAGGTTGTTTTTACATGATACTGGCCAGGATGAATCGGTCCATTCTGAAATTTCATGAATAATCTCCCACAGCCGCTCTTAAACCTCCCCCGTATTATTATGCCGATTTTCCACCACAAATGGTCCATAATCAAGCTTGTGCAACGTGCCGGCATTGCCCACTGTACAGCTCTGCATATATAAGCGCAGACACAACACATGATGTTTATTCTTAACGATCTCACTAATGGATTTTTCCCTTCGACAACTTTTCTCATCGTAAAGTCGACGGTTAACAGTTAACATATAGTAGAGCCAGCGCAGGGCACAATTGTTGTGACAAGTGGGACCGAGTTTAACTTGCGTCATACACGCCATGGGAAGGAAAAAAAACACATTGGCGTCGGCAGCGGCACACAAACATGATGAGATACATTTGCCGGGAGTGTACAAGTATACATCGCTACATCTCCGCGTTCTTTAACGAGATGTTGACGGGTCCGGTAGATCGTCGGCGGGGCCGGAAATAGCCGGCGTGGATTTAGGCCCGCAAGACATACATACTGTAATCACTGACACAACGCATTCACCACTACCGCGAAATATTAGACCGCGAGCAACGTTCGGCTTTCACATCGCCAGACATCTGTCACACGTTTATATCCAGTGTGGAGAAGGAGAAGCCTGTAAATGCGGATGTTGTTTCGACGCTACCAGGTTCTCTTCGCCTTCTTTAATAGCCAGTGTTTTTAATAGCAACCGGATCCGATCTGTTTAAAAGCAAACTATAATGTGCAGCTGACAATTAAGCGCTGCATTCCCAAGATCTGTTTGAGCATGGGAAAATATTTTCGACTGACAGTATATTTTGTGTTTGCAATCATGCTTTATTGCTGTTTGTCAATCGTTTACTAAAATCTCCGTACAAAATAGAACAAAATAAATAACATTTTCAATCACAAAATTAACAGAATATCAATTCGTGATGCAAAAAACGGCACCGCAAAATTTCGTACAAGCTGCATAGCAGCGGTAAATAATATGAATTAAAATTCTCTACTGTATATTCGCATAACACAAGCGCTTTTTGATACTTTGTTAACGTTGTTGTTTTCGGTCATGTGCCAGAAACAGTTTACAGATCTATTTCACACCAAGGGCTTCCACTCGGCGTGCACGACCAGAAGCCAAACTGATTCCCCGATTTATCCATGCCGCCACAGTTGTATCCCGTTCCCAGATTGCCGGCAATGTCCTCGATCACTGGAAACATTAAAGGTTACATACAAAATTTATACTCTTTCAGTGGGGAATAAAGTTAATCAACAAAATTGACCACCAAACAGCAAAGGCAGCGTTACAAAATGAAGTCACTGTAAACTCAACCGGCACTTTGAAATATTAGATGTTTGTTTGTTATTCTGCACTTCTTGGAAGCTTCTGAATTTTTGATGTATTAAATTTACTGCTCCATAAAAAAAACGTTCTGACGAAAGACTCACTTTTATTAAAAGATGGGTCTCCAGTGACGGCGTTGGTTGATGGCAAAACAAACCGGCGATCATTAAACATCCGCACCATTCCAATCCAAGGCCCGTCGCCCCACGAAACGTTGTGAGCTGAAAATTAAATATGCCGCAAACTAATTAAAGGCAGTGTTAAGGAACTCGTAAAATCATACAAATTTTAAGTGGTATCTATGTACACTGCATATATTTAATACAATATTTATATATATATATATGCATATAATTATAAAAAGAAATAACTATCGGAGAATACAGCTGCAAGAACAACTATAAGATCGCAATTAATAACCGATGCAGTTTTGTTAAAACTTTAACTGAACGACTGAACTACAGATAATTATCGAATTGCAATCATGTGCCAATTTTTCCCAGTACTTCTGCACAAACATGTGCTTGTGATTATTAATTTACGGTAGAATGGTCTTGCAATTAGCGTAAATATGCATGCTACAGTAGGCGCTGTATTGAGGTGATCAAAGCTTATTATAAGACGAAATATTGTACTTGTCATGGCATGCAGGACTATAATTTTAACCGTAATTAAACAGAATAGGCGATGTATAATTACCAATATTTTGGATATGGTTGTATTCATCCAGGTCGTTCAGCTCGATCAAATGGGCCTTCGGTCCAAAGCTCCGGCAGAACGCCAGCGCTGCGTAGAAAGTAACCCTACAAAGGAGGAAGTCGACCTTTTACAAGAAACGATTACGCGTATAAACATTTAGCGGTAAATATAATATGTAGCACTAGTGAAAAACTGACGCACGCACGCGCTTAATTAGATCAAAGGCAAACCAGAAACATTTTGTGGAAAATAGTAAAATTATCGTTGTTCCAGGTGCTGAGTCATATGCTCCTTACGCAAAGACAGATTGGGCTTTTTGTTTAAAATTGCACTTTGCCGAATTTAATTACAAACAATTTAATCAATCGTATCTGCCCACGTGTAAGGTCATAAGGTGGCTCTCTAATGACACCAGATTTTACCAAACTTGACTTCCAAATTTGCTAAAAAGAACGACAGATCGATACGTCAGAATTGTATGACCTTACCCGGTAAAACGTTCTCCCGTGTAATAACAGCTGTTGCGATACCGTGACCAACCATCCGGGCAGCCGGTATTCGCGGTTGTCGTGGTGGTCGTGCTGGATGTTGTGGTGGTGGGTGTGGTCGTGGTTGTCGTTGGCGTTGTGCTGGTAGTCGTCGTGGTTGTACTCGTTGTTGTAGTATCGGTCGTCGTACTTGTCGGCGTAGTTGTTGTTGTTGTTGGCGTAGTGGTCGTCGTTGTTGTTGTCGGCGTTGTAGTGGTTGTTGTGGTGTCACTGGTCAACAAGGGAATGGTGTCGTTGGTGTTGACGATGGTCGTAATGTTGGTCTGCGTCCCGTTGCTGTTGATGGCGGTTACGTTGAAGGTGTCCGCCCGGCACACACCGCCGACAGCGATGACGATGACGAATGCCACGATGTACATGGTCAGATATTTGTATGTTTTTTGTATAAAAAATAGAAGTCTTTGAAAAAGTAACTGAAAAATGCGATTAAGAAAGTAACAGTGAAAACTGTTTTATATAACGTCCTCATGTGAGTGTTCACTATCGGTAGTTTCCGCATAGGGATGCTTTTCATGCAGTTTCCGGTAAAACTTGTATCTGCGTATTCCGTAGTTTGTTTTCAGATCCCGTCAGGCGTGAAGAGTGTGATTGTTCAGAATAAATCAGAGTGTAAGCCTTTCTTCCTCAACATAATTAACCCACGACGATGTACAGTGCCATATTTACGCGTACCTTGTCAATCATTCCCCATACGTATGTACAGCTTTTTGTTAGTAATCGTGTTGGTACCATCAGGAAAATATTGTGGCTTTGACTCTGTAAACGATGTCATCGTGGAAAGCCCGTTATAAGGCAATTTTCTATTTGTCTAACGGGAATTCCCTTCACCTAACACAAGTAGTTAAGCAGAGCAGAATTATCCATTAATTAATTTCAAACAGGAGTGTCAGTTAATAACTTAAATGATGTTTGCTACGGCCAACCAAGTAACTTTGATTTCCGGAGCAGTTTTTTCCTGAGAATTTCTAATTTGGTTAGTGCTTTTACAGACACAAGCATGAAACTAATCAACAATAATGCTTAAATAAAAGCACCGGAATATACCAACACAGCAAAAGTTTCGTTTCATCTTCATAACTGCGAACTCTGTATCACCGATATATAAAAAAAGTGTAATAATTTAACAGGAAATTATTGTACAACCAAGTTTCAGTTTAAAACTTCAGATCAAGCATCGTAGGACGAGTTTCCACCGACTTCCAGTACAACAGGAAATCCGGCAGTATACGACACAATCAGTCGACGATCATACTGGTCCAGAGACGCATTGCTAATGTAACCCGGAAAAGGCACTACAAAATAACATGGAACTTTGTAATAATTTGCTATATTTTAAATTAAAAAGAAAAACTAAAAATAAATAAAAAAGGAAAATAAAAACGATATAAGATTATTTACAGTGCATCAGTGGGCTCATATAGCAACGTTAACCAGCACTTCGAGAACTTGGGTATAATGCCATTATACTACAGTTATCGTTAGTAACGATTTATAATATGATAACACAGTACACGCAAAAATGCTTTGATACTTGTATCGTTTTACCCACCGTATTCTATTTCACTATACCGGTGCGCATCCAGAATCGCCAATTCGTCATATCGACCTTGTCTATTCTTGTGCTTCCCATAAATAATATCACCGGTTGCATTGAAAGACATGCGACAGTTGACCAGTGTCTCCACTTGTCGGATAAGGCAGTAATTGCGTAGATCCCACTAAAAAGCGACCAATTCACTTTAATGAAATCAGTTTTAGCTGCCTGACACTTCTAGTCTTTTTTTCCTTATAATTACCACATCGGCATCCATCAGTACGTGAACGCCGTTGGGATGAAACACGTTCTCCACATTATTTCCCCACCCTCCGAAGTGATCGAAGCGGTGCACGAGTTGTCCCGAGCGTGTGTCCCAGATCGTTCCCATGCTGATCACGATATCTTCCGCACAGTGAAAGGACGGGAAATTCGGATGCCGTTCCTCGTCCTTTAGGGGACCCAGTAAGGTCACGCGTTTCTGCGTCTCCAGATCAAAAGTCTGCAAATTTCCAGTAGATCGTACCGGTATTTTTATATACAGAACAATGTTTTCTTATTTGTTTTATGTATTTTTATTTTATTTCATACTACGTAATTATATTTTTTAGTATATCCTGTTTTAATTTTTATAATGCGCAGACGTACAAAGTAGTATCCATGTCGTTTGCGCCATAACGGAGAGTGACCAACGGCCAATCGGTCGTTAATCAGCGATGGCCGCAAAAACTGGCAGTTGTCGTATTCCGCCACACGCCGACAGCGATCCACACCGTTGAATGCCCACAAATGGCTTTTTCGCGGACTGGCTTGGGACACCAAGGTTTTGGATGTCAGAATAAATTTATTGCTGTCCGACGGAAGACTGGTCATATCGGTCAGCTGTTTGTAATACCAGTCTTCAAATGACATGAACGTTATCTACAAGACCAAATTTTGAATTAGCAACATACATGTTTAGAGTTCTTTTCAGTATTCATTTTATTAATAAGTACATACTTCAAGTGAATCCAAGTCCACGCCAATTAGATGCCCGGTATCCGTGCGCAGCACTGCTTTGTCATGCTTGGATCCGACGAACACTGAAGCCACGCAGGTTCCCGCCCGCACCGGCAGTTCAATGTCACCCGTTGTTTTTAGCCGGCTGAACTTATACGCTCGGCCTCGCATATGAAATTGTGACTGGTATTCCGGGAAACACGGGCGCAACATGAGATCTAGTGCCAGACTTGATTGGTCTGTGCTGACGAGGATCGTCGGCTTCTCCGGGGCGGTGATGCCAGGAACGCCCGACGGATGGAGAACATCGTGCAGTAATCGTGCTTCGTGGTCCAGTTTATCATCGATCATATTACGTTCTGGAAACAACACACGCTATGTTATGTAGACCTTCTGTTTCGTATCTTTACTGTGCTGGAATTTAGTGAGAAAAGCGTAATAATTGTAGAGTAACGGCTCGAATCATAAGTCTCGTTAACGAGGCGAACGTTGTCACTTTTGTTTGGCTATCGTAAACTTGCAGTAATTTTTTGTGCAGTACCGCGGTAGTATTTTTATTAAAAAATAACATTTGACGTTACCCCAAGTTTTTCTGGATTGGAAAAACGGCCAGCGGGACAGGATGTGCTGGACGACCGGCGACACCGTCATATACCGGCAAATCTCACAAGCCAGGCTGCGCGCTTCCCGTATGGCATCCAAACTGGCCGCCACGGCCAACTCCTTCCCGGCAGTACGTCGTGGATCAAAGAAACGACCCTCCGCAATGTACGCGGAAAGGTAGACGAAGGCGTCACTATTACGTAAGTGCTTGATCACCGGTGGCTGCAGCAAAATACACAAGATTAAGGACTTCTATTAATCGTTCGGAACCGTTGCCAAAATGGACATACTGTGAAAGTCAAACCGGCAAAAGATTTTAGTGAGATTATGGTTTGCGTGAGAGTGGCCAGTGCTCCCACAGGATCACCCTAAATGCAACGACAAATATGTAGAATTATAAAAGTTGTTCAAATACGAGCCTATGTGAATCATGTGATTACTACGACTGTTCTTTGTATTTAATAGAAATAACACGTCAAATAGGAAATACTCAGTAAAAATAAGGCAAAACCGTTACAAACAAAAATTTGTAAAAACAATAAATAACACTACATTGCAATAAAAATGTTTTTATCATAAAATTTTGGTCTTCTTGAAAAAAATCGCTGCTAACCGGACTCCAGAACCGTGGTTCCAATAATGTCGCCGTGCATTGCTGAATGTGCGTATCCACAACACCTCCCTTTTCCATCGAAAGGAGATATGCGATGGTGGAAGGATCCGAAGTCATTTGTTTACAGAAAGTGGAAAAAGCGCACATATTGGCTAACAGCTAAATAATAACAATAATTAATACAAGTACGTTTGCATTCGAGTACTTTATAGTTTATCGGTATATGAATGCCGGGTTAACTCTCTGTTTCCCCTACTTACTCGCACAACGCTGGACATGACAAATGCGGAGACAAATGTCTGGATACGTAGAAATTTCAGTGCAAGTTGGAGAATAACCGTCTGCCGTTCCTCCATGCTTTTCTTGAAGGCATCGTTGCGTTGTGGTGACGACTCCAGGCAGCTCAGAAACCGGCATAGTAAATGGATTTCGAGTTCTTCGCTGACCACTGGAACAAGTTGAAATGTTGGAACTGCAGATGATGATGAATCTTCTCGTTGGTTTTCTCCGTCGGATGATATGCCGGCAACGAATGCCTCGATGCGGTTTATGCAATAATCAATCTGCGAAATGCGAAAGTTGTAGGCCAAGTAAATCATAGTGACACAGGGACTTCTTGCGGCGGTCAAAGTAAAATAAGTACAGTAAATACAAACATAATGTTCGTTTTGGTCATGAAAACATTACTCTCACTATTTAAACGTTTTGCGTCATGCTGTAAGCTCATCCAAAATCAGATAAAAAATAATAATCTGCATTCGCGAAAACTATTAATACTTAAATACTATACTATACTGAGCATAGACCGAACAAATTTTTGAACAATAAATAAAATCGCAGATAAACGTGTTTGTACCACGTGGCCAGCTTCCTCAAACGTGCACTCCTCACGAGACGTGTCCAGTCCATTGATGGTCACTTCCGCATACACTCCCAATAACGCAGCACACAGCGACGGGGTCAGTGCAGTTTTTTCACTTGTTAATAACTGGTACACAATCTTCCAAATAGGCAGATACTGCTCTTCCGCCGCAAACCACACAGTGTCCGGGCATTCCACCAATCGGTGCGATGCAAACACCAGTACGTACAGCAGCAATCCGGCGCAATACCGCAGAGCCAATGGGCATTCGACATTGTCGATGTATTGTTCCCATAACTGAAAATCAGCCAATTAGATTAGCCAGTGTATAATAAAAGTGTCTCCTTAATTATCAACAAATATTTCTTCAATTTATTCCGTAAATTTGTTCCGCTTTTCTTAATCTGACAATCGTACGGATGAATGAACGACAGATTCACGCGTTCCGAATAACCGTGCAATGAGTTCTTGGGAAAGCGTCCGCATTTTAAACAGTCGATTGTCATGACGCAGCTTGGCATACAACACCGGCAGTTCATGGTTGTATGCCGCATCCACTTCGTATAACGTTTGGAAAGCATCTTGAATCACGTATGAAATTCTAAAATTCATAGAATATTATGCAAAAATTAATCGCGACCGAATCCATTGACTTGAGAAATATTTTGTCTTACGCTTTGAAAGCCTCCTCCGTTTTAGCATCTTGAATCCGCGTCTCAAATGTCACTTCCAGTAACGTCACTAAACGCGACACAATTTGCCGGAAGTTGTCTTCCTCATCGGTTAATCGGACTGGCAGGTTATTCATTGTTGAACATATCACAGTGCTGAAAGATCTATTTCGCAGGACAACAGAATCCTTGAACGTGTTAGCAGAAAACCTGAGATTGTGTTCACGCGCACGCATGGAGTTTTCATTCACAACGCTAACGAGTCGGCGCTGTGCTTGTGTTTATTCAGGCTTCCGCTTGCTGTGTTGTGATGACTAACGTTGCAGTTCGCGTACGCGAGTTTAAAACGACAGCTGACTAAACGAACGATGTGTCATATTACTCGTACAGCGCGATAAGTAAAGCGCTCGCAATCGATAGAAGCAAGTTTAAGCGACCGGAAATGCAGCAGAATTCCATTTATAGACTGTTTAGCAGAGAACAGACCACAACTGACACGTGTGGGCTCTACCGGAACGGATTGGCCAAATTTTTAGGAGAATTTAATAACTATTTTACAATAAAGTTTTTCTGGTATTAGGGTTTCAAAATGGTAATGTTTTTTAATGAAGCGCTGGTAATTTTAATTCGAAAGATGATAAGAAAGGGTGGGCTGAAAAACTATCAGTTAAGTAGACAGTTCAGCGACATGTACTGCAGCACATGGTCTCTGCTTTCTGAATGTGAAAACTGCTGAACAAAGTAGTGTCACAAGAGTGGTGGCAACTTGAACAGAATGTATGGACTGGTTTCGCTCTGAAATTAAATGTTACGCAGAAAGGAAACCAAGCTGCTCTTTAGTTATACGAGATACAGTAGTAGTTTGCTCGTAGTGTAATACAGCAGACATTGTTAAGTACTAAATGGATCAGCTTTACCTCCATATCATTGTTATCAGCTGGTCGAACCATGGAATCATTAAAGTTGTACCATTTCTGGTCCTGCTCGTTCCGGCATACAGCCCAGTAATGCCCGCCCGAACCGTCCAGCTTTTCCGAGTGGCACGATTGACCCACCAAATCGTATATTACAGGACGTTCACCGGGATTAATGACCAAATCACTTAAATCAAATCCACTAAAAAACAACAAAAACGGTAACGAACGAACACTTACAGTGTAGCGCCGCTAATCCACTCTTCATTCGCCGTTTAAATTAATTTTGAATCGATTTGAGTTTAAGACGTTTATAGCGCAGCAAGCGTGTAGTTATCCCACATGGCTATTACCGAATAAAATTAGTCCGCCATTTTTATTAGGGAAAACCGGTAAACCCCATCGTACCATCCGGATATGCACATCGTAAAACATAATAAACCGGCACGATACTTATATTTAGTGTAACCCATACGTGACACTCTAAAACAAAACAAACATTTCGTACCATAATTAAACTATATATCGACATTCCGAAGCCAATACAGTTGCTGTGTGTATGTTAGTAACTTAGTATGTGCAATACTTACAGTCAATTCACTTACGTTAAAGGGATTTTCACTTTCGCATCCAGCTTCTTGCGGGAAGAAAGGTTGCATGCAGTAGAAGTATACTGAAATCGTCTCAAATGCACGAACAAATACTGCGGCATCTTGTATAAATCCAGTTTAGTCACCGCACGCTTCTCCTCTTTGCAAACTGGACACGTCCATATATCTACTTCGTGCAGCTCCTTCGGTTGTAAGTAGAGCTTAAAACAGTCCTTCAAGTCAATAGACTCCGCTTCGCGCCCGCATGGTACGCTCTTGTCCACGTCCATGACCTTTTGAAAATTACCCGATCCATTTATAACCAGTTCAGTTAAGTTGGAATGCGTTTACCGGTTGGGCAGCTTCCATGTGCACTTTTTCCAGAGTGTCTTCGTGCAAATCCACAAACAAATCAGCATGGGGCGGCATGAAAGTGTCTATCAGCTCCTTCTTTTGGTTAACAGGCAACGGCAGCGAGTAAATCATCAGGGGATCAAAATTGGTGAACGCCTTCTTACAATCAGGGCACCTGATCACGTTACGAACTTGACCACAAAATAAATCCACAATCACGGAATTGTTCCTAGCAGTGTACCACTCCCACGACTCACGGGCTTTGTCCTAATGAAATGTTCATCTAGCATCCAGGTCGAACGTGCGTTACGAACTTCCCGCGCACTTACCGCATCACTTTTATCGACATACTCTTTATTCCTTATTAGCTCGCTCATCGTGTACGGTCCACTCCGTCGACTTATGCGATTAAGGTCTTCGTGTAAGAAGTCAATAATTATGTGCAAGCTTTCGTGAGAATCCTCTAGACCTTGGATAATTAAATGCGTGTAGCGCGCCATAATGCTCTAAAAGATTCAGCTGGTTCGTTTTTTGCACTGCGTGTAGACAAACTGCATGGGCACTGCAATGGATCTCACCTTGAACTCAGTAGGGTAAATCACATGACCTTTAGGCATCCAAATCTGAGTGACCAGGTCAGCGTATGCTTTGGCTATTTTTCCACCCCTTCCAAACGGATTTTCTATGTTCAAATCTTTCTCATAATCTTTATTGACAAAATACTTTGTCAGTTCATGGATGTTACTGATGCACTGCAGCACCGAGTTGATGGAAGAAGTGCTGCCCAAATCACCCAGCCCCACTAGACCGGCTCGCGGGGACGACGAATCGTCAAGGCAGCTGCCGGTATTCCAAGTTAAAATATCCGATTGATTATGTTGACCAGAGCTCAGATTGTACGGCTCCATTTCCTCTACTTGCACGAATTTGTTTGCGGTAAGGTGCTGAATGTGAAGCCCGTCCAGCAGTTGATCTTCAGCTTTATCGCTCTCTACCGTAATTTAAAGAGTTACTTAATTTCTTACTTGCGCGGCTCCAAATATTTTGATATAGAAGTAGCTGGTCTTAAACGAAAACTGGTACTGACCATTATTAATGACAATTTGTGATTCTAATTTTCAGATTATTATATCTACGAGTAAGTCATACTGAGCAAGCTCAAAATTGGCGCAACACAATTCTACAGTCCAGTGTTTACCTTTGTGCACTGTGGCCGCAGCACAAGGTTCGGTTTCCGCACTCGGCACGGCAGCAGTGAGCTCCTTCGCTCCATTTCCCACTTTCCGACTGGAGCCTGGATTTCGGTCTGCATTACCAATGGGTATCTCGCCAGCATTAAAAGTTGTATGGTCTACAAAGAAGTGTTCAGATTCATCACAGTATATATCGGGTACACCATTACATGTATCGCTACTATGAATTTAACAAAATTCGCTACTGCATTAATTTCTTGATACGGGACCGCACAGATATAGCATTCTGGATTGGCAATATCATGACAATTTTAATAGTAATACGGGAATCTTCACACTTAGAATGCCGCTAAATCGACACATGTGCCACTTGCGTTTACTGTGTCTAACGAAAATCAAACCTCGGTCTTCCAGATTCCCTGGTTGGCAACAAAGGCGCCTGCACCAGCTTCTACATTTGTCGGACATTTTGCCGTTCAAAAAATTCGTCTCGTTAAAGATATTCTAAACAAACAGCAACGGTATCGCAAACAAAGTGCCAAAAGCCCAAAACAACCAGCAAACAAATCAAAATGGGATAAGCGGAAATCTTTCGTCATATCACTTCCTCGCGCTCGCTCGTACTTAACCGGTTTCAGTTCGTGAACAGTAACTTGCGTAAACGTCGTAAAGTGGTACTGTACTGTACTCAATCTCCACTCGTACTGCATGTAGTGTAATTCTTAAGATCTGTATACGTACAGTACATGTTTCTGTGTACATATACTGTATCGTATACATGTACATGTACATGTTTCCACTATTTGCTTACACTGTAAATAAACTACAGTATTAACGTAAGAACTAACAAATATTAATATTGTTATATAACATATATTGTTATTTGCTTCATAGAAATGTTTTTGTTGAGTACCACTGTACAGAGCACCATCTCACAGGTTTCAAGTCTGTAAGATCAGCTTTCAGACAATAATAATAACGCATTTTTTTCCTGGTACGGACCAAACTTAACAATTAATGAAAACTAAGCAATAAGTGATATAAAAGCGTACCATCACAGTGTGATCGCACATACATATCACTGACATTATTTTATGTGTAGTATACTTGTCAACATCAACATGCATTCGAAAACGACAACTCACAATTTTTACGCTAAATAATTGTAAGTAAACATGTGTCTTCAGACCGCTTCATAACTTCACAAACTTTAACTTCGGCAAAAGCAAATATCCAATTCAGAATAGGTCAAATAGCATCTGAGCCACCCAGTAATTAATTTGAAAGAATTTCTTGGAATCGTTATTGTTCATTGGTTGAACACTGACAAAGGGTTTTTCATTTTTTCATTTCGGCGTAAGCCTTTCGTGTTCCCGCCACCAGCCAGTCATGCCCGCCGAACGTTCCGATGAAGCCCTTATGAACCAGGACTTCCTGCTTGTCTTTGGGTGGGGAGTAATTAATTTCATCGCCATCCAGCATGGTCAGGCAGCCGCCCAGAGCGCGTAGAATTCCGTGACCGGCGCACAAGTCCCATTTTTTGATTTTGGTTATGTGCAGGTAAGCGTCAGCATCTCCCAAGATAACCTGTATAATACCAGCATTAAAACCACAATTACAGTATATCCATAGAAGTATAGCAGACTAAATTATTAAAAATAAAGCAATGAATTTAAATAAAAGTCGTATCTGCGAGTAGAAAAATAGAATGGAATCAAGATAAATGAATTTAAATCACAAGTAATACCAAATGTCTTGGAACTATGTACGAAAGACATACTGAAAACATTTCGCAATTTGTTATGATACAATAAAATTAGTATCCATACGTGCCGATTTAAGAAGCAAGCAAAATTACCTCAAACAAAAAATTGATACCAACGACGTTGACACAAAGTCAAATACCTGCTCGCGTAAGTGTTTAAAAGTACCATATTCTCCGTAACCCATGATAAAATTTTTCTTTTGTAAACGAGAAGAGTCATAAACTGAAACTAAATCCGCTGCTCGGATAAACTAATACCGTAGATCTGGCGATGAAGCATTACAAAACAGGGTGATAATTTTGATTTAATCCAACCCATTCGGCGTTTACCAGTACGTACTCACCTGTAGCAACTTATCACCGGCACCGCCACGGGGCACCAACTCGAACTTCCTGCCAGCCAGCGCCGTCTGCGTGAAGCCCAAGACGTTGCCGGCATGGCTGGCTGTGCGCGACATGACAATTTTGAGAAAATCTCGTTCCGGGCGGCGCAAACTTTTCAGCTCCGGGCACATTCCGTGATTCTCCCAGGCCCAGTAGGTTATCGGTGTCTTCAGAAATGGTCGGTGCAGTACACCGGCAACCGGCCGGCCTTTTACGGCAATTCCAACCATTACCTGCGTAAAGAATAAATGCACTAATTCTCCTGCCACAAAAGCTATCGTCAGTTAATGTTATCTGTCAAACTAATATTGTCTTCGTAATTAATTACAACCCGATATAAAAATAAAACAAACAAATTAAAAAAAATTAATAATCCTTACAAGTCGGCTTATCGACAATAAATGATGCCAAAGGCATGATGGATGTTCACGAATGGTCAACTAAACTAACCATAAGTAGCCATTGCACTACATATGCATGCATATGCTGCCGTCAACACAGATAACAAAAAAGAACCTTAATTACGTTTCGCGTTATTCACGAAACAAATACCGTGGTGTTATAATTTTCGATAGCCAGGACCATTACAAATTATCGGTAAATAATGAGTTCCAATAATATTATTACCCGAATACGAAACGGGTAAATCAATTTTATTACGACAATAAAATCACCATCAGCTTTACTCGAACCAGTTACTGCGACACGTTCCAGTATAAATGCGCCAAGCAAATTAAAAGCGGAACACGTTTGCAGAGCTGTATACCTGGACGAATTCATAGAGCCCCTCGGTGTATTCCTGCGTGGCATCCAGCGGATCGATCCACACCGTCACATCACCCACACTGGCCTCCTCATCGCCTCCCACCTGTTGCACGAAATCCTCGGGTACATGCTTGGCCACGACATCCAGCACGGCCAAATCCACCGGCTCCACCGGTTTCGTTGAATCATCCTCCTCGGAGATGATCGTCACGCCGAATTTCTGCCGCTGAAACAATCCCACCATCACCTGATGGGAGCGGATATCACCCACCGTCACCGGATCCACATTGCGCTCTTTGTACGTCGTCTCCAGCACACCGGATTGGACGACGTCGCGCACTTGGTTACCGCCCAGTTCCGCCGCTTTGATGGAATAGTACAAGAGATCGCGCAGACTGACTTTGCCCTGCACCATACAAAACACTTGACGATACGGCGCTACATGATGTTTTTTAAAGTTTAATTTAATCACAAATAATATTAAATCAGCGGAAAACCGAAAATTATTTACGGTAGCTTTGATAAAGCGCTGTAATCTAGCCGATAAAACACGGCATGCTGTACAGGGATACACAAGCATCGCAATGGTTTTACACGTACCGTTGCCATTTTTGCTGCACAGGAATGAATGCTGTTTGGAATTTGTGAATGAAAACCAGCAAAAGATGTGATAATTGGTGGCGTGATGGAGGCAGACCAGGATAACGATGAGCGATGGTGCCGAGATCGTGAAAATAGTTTTTCCACGCAGAAGGAACGATTCACAGACTGTCGGTACAAATGGGCTGCAGCATGTAGGCGCATCGGAAAATTTAGAGCTGTTTATCTGAAATTTCGCCCGCGGATATCACCGATAAACGCCGCAACATAAAATGCGGTTAACGTTTACCTGTTATTAATACATATATGGTACAGGAAATGTACCGTGAAAATGAGACTTTTGCAACGTTAAGAAATCGAATGCAGTTCAGCAAATGGTAGTAACTGCGTTCTGGAGAATACTGTGCAAAAAAATTAAGGAAAATTCGTGAATACGTCCAGAACTCACTCACTTTCAGTAATAACTGCAGCCCGAGGGTGGCAGCAATAGTACGGGCTACGTGCAAGATACATAGTCGAAAATATTACTCATATATAGATATAGATACTATGTACTTTGAAGCGAAATTTCGTTGTTATATTTTGTTATTTATTTTTCTATAACTACGTAAGTAATCATTCTAGCCCTAGAGCAGAAAGTTTGTTTTCGTGCGAAGCAATTTCGAAATAAAATTGTGCTCTGCTTTTTTCTGTAAACTCCCAACCGGTTATTTTATTGATATTTTTTCATAAAGTATAATCAGTGTAATGGTGATCGGTTTGCGAGTGGATACGTAGCACAGAGCAGATCTTCAACAGATACACTTCAACAAATTCAACACTTGTAACAGGGTTTTATTTTTCACTCTGTCGAGCATGATCCCTTAAATGATTCCCTTTGCAACCTTTTTAGTGTTCTCAGAGCCGTCGACGGACAGCAAGGAAATTTTCCGATGTGTTTGCAGCTGCAGTTAGCGCTGTTAAATCCATGCTTCACTGACCGATGATGATACGGTGCCGGTTTAACTGCCGAATGATTTCCTATTATTACTTAGCAAATTAATTACTTACTCGTATCAATCATAGAATCGAGCTCAAATTTACAACGTTATCGAACGGCGAAACTTGTCCGGAACTGTTTTGAACGGGTTGGTGTCAGATACGTACTGCAGATTTCAGGATGTAGCGGCGGTCATTAAGCCAGCACATGTACTCGTACATGCAGTTTACACAATGCTTGGTTTTTTCTTTGTTCTGCCCGCCTGTCGTAGCCGCAGAGCGGAGAAACTTGTGGAATTTTTGGTTTTAGTCTTCTACGAGCACTGCATCCACCGACATTTTTCGGTGGATAATTACGTTAGGTTACGAAAACCACCAAGACGAATTTTCAAAAACCACTGCGTGTATATCTTAATTTCGTAAATTCCAGGAGGGCATTACGCAGGTCCAGAAGAAAGGACAGCGTAAGGTGGGACAGATTATCGCAGCGCAGGTCCTGCAGTCCCTCCGTGCACCATCTCTTTCCGCGTTAATGCGAGGATGGGCGCGGATCAGCCGTCTGGATCGCGCACAACGTCGACAAAACGAACGACCGCCATTGGATAAAACATGTATCGGCACTCTAAATACATTTACCAGAATAAATTAGTGATAATTTTATTGTTGTAAGAAAACACCACAAACATTCGCAACATGTAATTCGTGCGTCGTTATTTTTTCTGTGGCGCAAAATATACATAAATTTTAGATTTCACGGCTGCCAGCATTAGCTAGAGTAGTCATCACTGCGAAATGAAAATTCTGGTGCGTAGAATTTCTGCACTGTTGCGCTAAAGGAAACTGCAGTTTCTTGAAATCAATAATGCTACGGCTTGATAGTTATTGCTGAATCGGGCAGTGAATCCACAGTAATAATAACGTAGCTGTCTCTATACGCACGTTTTTAACTCGAATTCAAGCATGTAACTGTGCGCACGTAAAATTCATAAATAAGAATGCATGTAAGGTACAGCAAAACGTCTATAATTCTTATGAACGTTTTGTTTTGATTTTTCAGGGCTAAAAAACATCAAAACATCTTCCACGATTCCATAAATTAGTTCATATTTAATCAACAGAAGCTCCGTTTGATTCGTCAAAGGATATAACATCATACTCAAGAATGCAGATCACATTGTGAAAGATCAGCGTAATATACGCGTGCAAAGAATAAGCAAAGCAAAGAAATTACTGCTGAGTACCAGGTGCATTACTACTCGTAAATAATCTCGTATTTTATACCGGGGAATTTACAAGACTCGTGAGCGAATACCGCAAAAGAATTACGTAGATATTATTGCATCGCGTCCCTAAATACGAGGACGTCACAATACTGCATTCCAAAATTATCGCCAGAAGAAGTGCAGTGTCTCGTATAATTACAGTAATCGGGACTTTGATAAATGAAAGACTTTGCATGAAAATATATAAATCATTCTAACAAATAAATCTGGAACGGAAGTTTTGATCAGTCGGCCGAGCACCGCGTAGATGCTGCTTCTTGCGTTAGTGCTGCTTGATGGCTATTTTCAAAAATCCATAACTATTGCTGCAACCGAGATCGCCGAATGTATTCTGCGTTCCATATCCCAGTGTCCGGTATAAAGGTCACCATGCGCAGTCCGAGTGGTCTTGGCCGTACACGCAAGTCTTCGTTTAGCCGACCTTTGTTTTTGCACTTCGGTGAGCGGAAGTACCGCGGCTACTGGCCACCCTGGTACTCAACGGTGTGTTGGGCAGCGTTGGATTCTTTTCAACCAAACCGTTGACCGGCTGTAATTTATTGGTGGCGATGGTGCTGGTGGTCACAATTGACGCACTGGGAATGGTGCCGCGCATAGGAAGAGCGGAGAAGGGTTGTTTAGAGTGCACAAGCGGCGCGGAATTATCTGCGGATATCCGTGAACTCCGTTTGTTATTGCCGCCGCAACGCGTGCGGCGTTTCAACCAGGCAAAACAAGTTGCCGATGGCAGTATCATTGGTTCTTCATCCACTTGGACATCTGCTAAATCACAATAAATTAAAATTTTATGAACAATACTTTGCTGCCTAATTCAAAACGGCAGTCAGTAGGAAGTGACATTTGCACCAAACTAAAGCAATTTACCGTGATAAATAAAATTAATTGTTCTGATAACCCACAGCCCTTTATTTTACATGCGTAAGACATCATAATTTGCAGACACGAAAAATACCCTCGAGGAAAAATGCATAAAAACTGATTTTAATTGTGAAGCCATATATAATGGGCTTATCGTCGAAGCAACATATTTACATTATAACCTTGGTAATATGATGCTGCTTACCAATTGGGTTAATGCGGTGCAGGGTCTTATTAGCCCCGGCGGAAGGATTATTGATCATGGCATTCTTTAGTACCGACGCGCTTCCTGTCGCGGCATTACTGCGCTGCTTTAAGCCCGTCGTCGATGCCGTGACATTGTCTGCCCGCGGCGTCTCCGGCTTCCCGGCATCTCCACTGCCATACCGTAATCCCGCTCGTGCCAACTTTACACCCTTATTCGGACTGCTTGAGCGGGAGCGTGCCGTCGCCTGCGGGCTGGCTGTTCCGTTAGCAGATTTTGGCGTCGTCGCAGTTGTCACGTCATGCCGTGATGACAGCGGTTGGCGTGTTACCGGAGCCGGACTATTCTCTTTGCCAGACAATACAACCGGTGTTTTCCCACTGGGCAGATCGGTCTTCTGGTCGCGGACCGGTGATGCCGACTTTTGTTCGGCTTTCTTTGAAAGACTGCGATCCGATTGCTTACCGGGTAATTCCGTGACCTTCGGCGCCGGTTGCCTGTCAGTGTCAATCTCGCTCTCGCTGGGTGAATGGTAAGCTGCCGGTCGCGGTACCGGCTGTGACACCGAGCGCGTTAGCGGGCTTTTCGGAAATGTGGAGAGGTTCAGGGAAATCATCGACGACTGATTGTTCACCGTTAGAATGTCTTCTTGTGATGACAGACTGCCGGTTGAATCTCCCGGCTTCAATAACGATGTCGTTGTTGGATGGTTGAACACCGAGACTTTTCGCGTTCGTTCGGTGCCTGTGCCAGATGGCGGCGGCACGGAATGGTTATTGTTTAGCTTTAATTGGGGTTGTTGTGAAGGATGCGGCACAACCGCGCCCACCCGTGGAATTTTCAACGGGGTTTTATTAATATCGATTTTGGGTTGGCCATGTGAAGGCGACGATGACGGTGTGGCGTCATCGCTGTCATCATCACTCAGCGATAATTCGATGGAGTTCCGTGTGATACGCGGCGAGCGCTGTTGCGCATCGGAACGTGTGGACAGGGTCACCGAGATAGAGAGCGCGGATTCGGCCGATTTAACCGACTGGGCTAAGGGCACTTTCAGCTGCTGATTGGCCGTCCGACTACTGGCACCGGAATGTTTTGGCGCGCTGTTACCGTGACTGGGCGAGAGACCGGTATCTGTGACCTTTGTTTCCGGTCCCGGCTGACTGTTGACAAAGACGTGCGGTACTGAAGGTGAATGCCGGATGGGCGGGGGTTGAGCAAAACGGGAATTGCTGGGCGAGCGATTACTGTTGATTGTCAGCTGGTGTGCGGACTTACGCTGGGCGTTGAGAAGACGATTATCACGACTGGATTGCACCTGTTGCGGTACCGGAGATTGTGCAGGCTCCAGCTGCAGCGACGGAACGCTGACTTTTTTCTGGAATTCAGCGCGTGGTAAGATCGGATGCCGGGTGGGTTCTTTGCGGATCTTCAGATTTTTTCCCACCCAATCGAAGCCGGTTTCCACAGTGACCTTTAACTCGGACGGTGCCCCACCCTCCTCGGGGATCTCTCCGATCTGGCTGATCACTTCACCGGCGGCACTATGGTTACCGGAATCTTTGCTGATGCTGGAAGTGTTATCGGTCGTCGTCTCGGCGAGATTTTGCGTTCCGGCTTGAGCCTGTGCCGCGGCCACCGCTTTGGCGTGCGCCAGTGCCTGCGCTTGCTCCTGCGCCTGGGTGCGGGTTAAGAGGTCACGGAATAACTGCTTGAGATACACGTAATCCGGCTCTTCGTAGAACTTGAGCGCACGTGAGTAGCGTAGCAGCTGAGCAAATTCATCGGGGCAGTTAGAACAGATGCTCTCCGCTGCTTCTTCAGCTTTGCGTGCTTTGATAATAGCGCTCTTCTTGGACGTGTCTTTCTCATGGATACCCTGCCAGGGCAGACGCCCTTTAAGGAAGTAGACTAGGACATATGCCAGTGATTCCAGATCTGCAGAAAAATTATGAATATTAGCTGTGACCTTTGCATTCACTTATGTGCCATTGTTTAGAGTCGTATGCCGGCACAACATGTTTTTATTCGGGCTATTAGTAAAAATGCTGACTGTAATTTATTTGGCGTAAATAAGAGATGAGATGATGATCGTTTACACGGCAATTACCATCTCGATATGACAGCGCATTTCCGTTGTGGGCGGAAACCGACATGTAGCGCGGCGTGCCGGATGGACATACAATGCTGTTCTCATTGTAGAGGAACACTCCCTTTCCCTGATCCTTAAGCACCTGGCTTAATCCGAAATCCACAATATAAATCACTACAATAAAGAGATGGATTTCTGCTTATATGTTATTAAGTGCCGATGCAATTAAATAGGGTAAGCGGATCAACGGCTCCGTAAGATGTTCTACATTTTAACGATTACATACTAATCTGAACGTGACTAACAATTATGCATTATCCATAATTTTTGTGATTCATTCGTCCAATACGCGTGATTCATTCGTCCATGCACAAAACCATTAATTATGTTCCATTGCATTTTAATTTTTTTACTCGTCGTTAACAGTGACACTGGAACCAACGTTTCTACCTTATATTACACAAATCGCATAATAATATGTTTCTTTTTCAACGCATTTATTGATATGTTCACTTTGTTATTAGCAGTATTAATTACAGAACAATACTGAGAACTCCTTTATTTTTTTACCATTGTCCATTCCCTCGTTTGGCAGGCCGGTAAGGAAATTTTCTCCCTTGACATCTCCATGGACGACACCTTTATTGTGCATATACTGTAACCGCTCAAAGCACTGCAGTGCAATAAGACACACACAACGTAGGGTGAATTTGCGTTTCATCTGTTCGAAGATGTCATCCAGTGACGGTCCCAACAAATCCATTACCTACAATTTTCCCAGAATTGCAATTTACGCCCAGCACGAAGCGACGTACATTGCCGGTAAATTCTTTACACCATAGAGTACTTGTGATGGAACCGGCAGTATAATGGCACCGGCCGGCCATTTCCGCTGACAGCAATGACAATATGCGCAGATAGGTTAATTTGCTAGTAATGATCGTGCGCAGTGCGCCTCTATACGCTACTGTAGCACCCGGGAATCGAGCCCTTACACGATCATTAAATCGTTAAGTGCACATGACGCTCTATACCGGCGATTGTTACTCCGGTCAACAGTGTTCCGCTTCTGCGAAGCACACGACTGAGGCACTGCATGGGAGTTATTGTATGTTGTTCCCTGATATTACTACGTCTTCCAGTAATCAGGCTAATCAGTGAGGTAAAGATTCACGTACATGGCCGAGGAAAATGTAGTGCCCGGCACGTTCGTTCCACTATTTTGCACAAAGGTCAGCCATGTTGCTATTGTCAATTAAGTGCCCGTGCCTAGAATTTTTTTTCGATTCTTGCTTGTTCCTCACGAACTGATGTATCTTGATTATGTAACAGGGGCCAGAGCTGACCGTGACCTTTTCAGTTATGGTTGTGCAATCAGCCGTCTCGTGGTTTAGCAAATCTTGAAATTTGTCGCCCATAAATGATATAAATGATTTTGTGCATTAATACCAGTATATGCAATGAATTGCATGGAATGTAATAAAGCCAGCTAGAGAAAAAGCCACCCCTGAATCTCACTTTGAAATTTAATTAGTGTCTCATATAGTCTATATTGACCGGTAGCGCTTGTTTACAAATTCAGCGAATTGTATGACTTACTTTTATGCACTTAAACTGTTTAAATATGGATTGTTCATTCGATCTGAATTTAATAAACCCATCTCATGAAATAATCCCATTAAGCGGAAAATTCTCTTATGCCGCGTGGCCATTACCGCTGTCTGTTAATTTATGGAATTAAAATGCTTTTGCATTGTGGTACCATTAATTTGGCATACGTAATGCGAAAAGTAATCACTAAGCGAGTCCCTCACGCATCTTCGTGTGCACTTTTAACTTGATAATCCCAATGGTGAGCGTGATGTGCCGGCACGAGATCACCGGAGATGATCCCGCGCCGCTACTGACTCAACAACTTTGCCTTTGACTGCAAGGTCAACAACTAAGTTCGATTGATGATCGATCTAACTCTCTGGTTCGCTTATGCGACGCAAAACTTCCCCAACAATACACCACGTATCGACATAAACAGCACGATTTATTTCCCAAATAACCGTACCATTCAATAACGTGTCAATTAATTCGATCAAGCGCTCGAAAGGTCAATCCACGCGGTTGCTTAGAACTCACCAGAGCGTTGTGCGCGGGACCACTTACCAATGCGTTGTGAGCAGTACCGCACAATCCATAATAATAACATCGCGGTATTCCCGGCGCATCCCCCAAAATGGAGTAAATATTGTACTCGGCGGATAAATGCCGCATCCCGGTATGCCCCACCGACTCGATCTTAACTGCAAACCGTTTCGCCGACATGGACTTGTGGTAACCATACCGCACTTCCCCGAAACCGCCTTTTGCAAACGCTTCTCCAATGGCAAACCAGATTCCGACATGCATCCCAAATAATTTATCCACTTGCTCTTTTTCATGCGGGATCTGCGTTTTGACCGGTGCCCCGCGGTGTAACTCCGTCCACAGTCCGTCGGACGGGACATCCGCGATGACTTGACTGGACCCGCCCATTCCCAGGTGCTGCTTGATCCTCCCCGGGGAAAAGGCTCCTTCTTTAATCGCCTCTTTTAGTGTCGACCATCCACCACCGAAAATGTTTCGGGACGTTCTAGGGGTGTCCCAGGTGCTGGTGTAATGATAGCCCGGGGAGGTGATTTTGCTGAAGGGACTGTGCAGCGGACTACCGGTGGCCGGTGAAACCCAGGCGCCGCGGGGTGTCTTACGGGTGACACCGGATGACATGGCGGATGTGCGGCGGTCTTTCAGTTTTTCAACCAGGATTCCCGATATATACGCGAAATGGAGGAGAGGAAGAAAAAAATGTCACTCAAGGTCAGACCTTAATTTCTGTGAAGTAGATATACACCGGGAATAGTTGACAAAAGCACCGTTAACGTTGGATCATTAACCAAGTGTCACTCAATAGCCGACGACAGCTGTCGCGACGTATACACGGTGTGATTCTTCGTCACCGGAAATGCATGTTGATTTAGTTGGCTTTATAGTGTACACACACGGCTGGGGATGTGTACATTTCTGTGTGCCAGTCGGGAGCTATGCGGATTCGGCGATTAGGGCCATTAGGAAAAAATAACAGTGATCAGTTGTCGATTATTCAGCGCGTCATTGAGGCCCGGCAGATGGTGCGGAGGAGAATTATGCCGGTTCGTCACCGTGTACCGCGGCGTCAATGCCGCCAGTTTGGAGGTGGATAATGACAACAAGGATGGGCTGGTTATCCCGGCACGAGCAATACCCAGGGTAAATCCCTATCAACTGCATACAAAACATGTTTGATTAAGTTGCGGTAGAGGTAGACAACAGCAGAATATGCCACTTATTACTGTAGTCATTCGGGTGCGCAGGACTTAACGCTTCGGAACACCTTTAGAAAATTACCGTTTCTGACGTCAGGCGTCACGGGAAATCATGTTGTTATCATGTTACCCATAGCATTTAGAAATTTTGATCTTTTAATTACACTGACTGAGTTTCGCTAGCAGAACACTACCAGTTTAATATTGCCGCGCGCATAAGTACAATACTGAATGTACCTTGTTTTTGGGAACGGAAACCAGTGCAAAATTAATTTCATATTTTAGCTCAAAAAATTCAAAGATTATTATTACGGACTTACGTGTACAAGAAAAAACAAAGACCTCCCTTAGTTAGGCATCCAAAGCAAAACATATACAATAAATCTGAGCAACTCTAAGAGAACACAACGTAAGTAAGCATTCAAGACAATAAACAGTAAATCTGAGCAATTTGAAATGAACGTAAGTTTTTGCAAACCATAACAGTGCAGATTCTGAACTTATTACTGCTTTTAAAAAAATGCAGATTTTTTAAACAAACTACGGATTACTTACCTTATCGACAACGCACTTTGTCAGTAAGGCGTTGCGAATTAGGAAAATGCTTGTTGATGATCCAGATTCGAGATCCGAAGAAATTTCTGTAGGTCCATGTAGCTTTGCAGCTTAGCAAAATCAGGACACGGCAACAAACAATCATCCAGCGCGACACAACATTCAGTCTGCTCCTCCAATTCTCTCACACCTTACATTATCAACAGTCAGGACCGTGCACACAAACTGCCTACCGTATCCACCGGAAACCGTGTTCCATCTTAATTCCGGCCCACACGATCAGCGCCCGGGTACAATTCGCCGCGTGGACGAGGCAGATGCTTTTAGGACGGAGCGGGGACTGTGTTCCTTGGAGAGAGAGGGACGCGTAATGACTGTCGAGGGAAACGAGCCCATCAATGAAACAACAGCGGGAGCACTCGCGGATAAGAATATGCCTCAATGCACACTGATTAACCGTGTGCGCGGTGCGTGTATAGTGTTTGTACAGGACGTTACATAATGCGCCGCACACCGGTCGACCTGATTGTCCCGTACGTACAAAGGGAAAAGAGTGCGGGACCGGCCGTTAGACAGCCAACTAACGACCGATCCTGTCATTCCATAATTCGTACAATTAACAATGCTTTTAGGTAAGGTACGCGGTATAAACGCTAAAGACTCTCATATACATACATTGTACACGCTAGGCTGCACCTGGCCATGGATGCGCTCAACGCACGGGTGATGATTTTGTTTCGGATTATCGATCACCGCTCGATGCCTGATGCCGGTCGATTGTGGTTTGCGTGCCGGTTTTCTCCCTCAGTCCCTTCGTTTTCTTGCAGTGCGCCAATGTTTTACCTGTACTCGACCTCTACCCGCGATGGGCTACGCTTAACGGAGTTTATACGTTTCCGGTTGGCAGTGGTTAGTTAAAGAATCGCTCCTGTTTGAGCAAACAGATTGAATGAGCTGGGACTGCTGCACGGTACGTTCAGGCAAAGGCGAACGGAAAAACGGTAATGGAATGTGCTGTAATATTGATCGCCGGTGTTTGGACGAAATCCGACATTATACTAGGGACAATTTGTAATTTGTATTATCTAGAAAACTGTTGCGCTCAACAGTATCTTCTTTATTGTATTTCAGTCTTCGAGAATATTAGTTTCGTAAACTGTCAGAACTTTATACAAGCACTGCGAGGTAAAAGACGGTCTTTTATTTTGACAGGAGGTCTCTTATTTTGGCAGCAAATAGCTTTGCGATGTGGACAATACAGTTGATGATCAGATTATATCAGCATAACGTACTGTACATATAAATATACGAAAGAACAAAATATGTACATTTTGTAATTTGGTGTTTACTGTGGTTATTTTGCATATTTCGGCGCATTGTTTACATAATAGTTACAATAATTACAGTATATTGGCTGAATAATTAGATGACCATGATTTATGTTTCCGTACATCGAGACATGATCAGTACTCGACCAGATCAAAAAATTTTAAAAGAAACAATCCTACGGTAACAGGTACTACCCCGGTTTAAAAAAGCCTCGTTTTTAAGATCAGATTTCTAGCTCACCAGCACCTGTTTCTTTCTAACTTGATCTGTGCATGGTACTGGCGCAGACCCCATTAAGCGTTTCTACCGGCGTAAGAACCCCATCAGAAATTGGAACACTATTTTTTTTGTCAACCACAGCACACGAAAGTACTGCCCAAGAGCGGTGCACGCCGTACGTAAATAACAGGGAGGTATGAGCGAACTAATGTTCGGATGCTGGGTCAGTGCAAAACAGCGGCTATTGAGGTGGTGGTTGGGAGCTAGTGTAGTAAAGAAGGCGTGCGAACTAACTATATTTTCGCTGTTGTTTAACGCGAACGCCAATGCAAAACCAGTCACAGTTTATCAGTTTTATTAATAAAAATAGCCCTGCGCTGTGAGCGAGCGCTGTAACAAATTAAACGCTTGAAAAATATTGCCAACAACAGTCACATTAAAACACAGCTATTATCACATCGCTGGAGAAAAACAAAAAACAACATCGACAGCATAATTAATTATAGAACAAGCGCGTCGATCTTAAGTTCTACCAAAACCGATTTCGTTTTACCCGAGATGTCCTGAAATGTTGTCTTTCTTGGCGTAGGATTTCACGTGTTAATCCATCCAGGCGTTGAAGGCAGCCTCAGGCAGCTGTCTCTAGGCCAGCCAAAACTCCCCGCGGGCTGCTCAAATACACTGTGAAAAAACCCGACTTTGTTAAAATCTGTCAGCACAGATTCAAAGTTTTATAATATAATCGGCTTTTATTAATTCATTTATCTAAACCTAATAAAATGAGAAATTGAATATAAAGTTACGAACCGAAATGACGAAGCAATCAAAATACGAACCACCTAAAATAATAAAAGAATTCTATGAAAATAAACGATAAAAGTAAATGAACAGAAGATCATGCATTCCAAATACGGCGAGCTACGGAAAAATACTGTGTAGTAGGTTTGCTAGTATCAGCAAGTACAGGGATTTATTTAGCTGAACCACCTTTATCACATACCTTGCTTAACGCGGTCTCGCTGGTTCCTGCTGTCCGCCAGACGCCGCGAAGTTCAGGATACAATAACGACTGGTGGCAAGTCAAACAAACGAAATCATTTTGTAGTAACTGCAAAGGTGATAAAATAACTTATTGGCAAGACTTTTGACTCCATCTACTTCATCTGAGGACACTAAAACGGTAACTTGCAGTCTAACACTCAAACTGTGGTGACTTACTGTAGTGAATGCGACTCCGCTTTCCGTTGACATGGCTCGTTCTCCATGCCGCTGCTTCTCCTCCATAACTTTTCAGCTAGCCCTAGGTTGTGGCGGGGTTTTTGAGGACAAATCAGGAAAGGGAACGCGAGAACGGGCATAAACGTCATCAGCCCAAAAGTCAGGGAACAAGCGAAGTCGCTCAAGCTTGCAAGGAATCCCCAGTTCAGAGCCATTTTGCCCATGGTGCCGAACCGTATTATTAAATTTACCGTAAAAATGAAAACTGCTTTAATAAAAATAAGTTTTGCAGGACCAGAAGCGAAATCGTTGAAACGGCAAAAACTTTAAAATTGTACGAGAAGTGAATACTGAATAATAATGTTTACTGACTGCAAAGCCTGAAAACCCGCGTCCAGAGCAACCTCTAAAAAAATACAACCTTTATTGCGATTTAGTCCCTACCCAGGCGCGCAGGTCCTGGAATTACTGCCAGAACACTATTCTTATAGTTGCGTGAAAGAACAGGACAGTAATAATTACTTATGTTTATATATTTTGTACTTATATGCTTTTTTCTTTCGCCTTACTGTCGCTTAGTCTCCCGGCGTTAAAACCCAAAACCTCCAGCAGCATTAAATTTAATTTTAATTTCGTGAAATTTTCAACAAAATTTTCAAAACAAAATGGAGTAAAAGGGAAAGCATGGAGAGACTAAACTGAAAATCTGGCCTGTTCTTTCTTACAACTGTACAGTCTTATTTTATTACAATCGCAATAAGGTAAAGTGTAACGGAACAGATTGCCACAACAACAATAATCGGAAAACATGAGATCGGACACTAATCTGAAACAGCATCATTGTCGACCGTGCTGAGGACGACCGGCGAGGAAGAACGACTAGCGTGCATGAACATTGAACAAATTACTTGGGCCTGGTACTGTCCAGTCCTTGTTAGATTTATTTAAAAAGATAACATATGAGCAAGACACAGCAATAGTCATTAAGTTTTTAAACAGCGACTTCGATTGCGGTAAGGCGGTAACCGGCCGGATGGTGTTGGCTATTTTGTCCATACTGATCATGGCGTCACGTGCGACCATTCCCCTTGAACCTATTGCGAGATGGTAGTAGTCCGCCTGCCAGCCGGCGCCGGTTAGTTGTTGTACCAGCGGGGTGTAACGCGTGTGTTTCCGTGCCTCGGCATTGGCGAATCCCTGTACGGTCTCAAAGGGAATGGTCAGCTCCGCTAAAATAAGACGCTTCTCCCGGCGGTTAATGCAACACAAGTCAGGAGAAAGGGAAGTAGGGAAGACATCAACAGGGACAGTACTAACATGAGTCTCATAGCTGTTAGGATTGAGATCACATAGAACTTCCCATTTAGTTTTATCAGCCACACCGGTCAAAGAGAGAAAGATAGCTTGTAAGACGCTGTTATGCCGCCAAGTGTATCTGTGGCTATTAAGCGATACCGGACAGCTATTAATTATGTGACACAGAGATCCTTTATCGGCCCCACACAAATCACACTTGGCTGACACAATCTGTCCCCACTTTAGCAAATTGGTAAAAGAGGGAGAAATATTTAGAGCCGATTCGATCATAAAGGAAACGATGTTCTCAGAAAGATCATACAAAACGGATTTCCAAGGAGCATCAACTATCTGTGCCTTTGCGATTTCCCGCCACGCTCCCTGCTGAATTAATGAGTCGATGCGGTTTTCTTTAGAAGCGGACACATGTTGCCTCACTTTCTTATTCACCAGCCTCTTAATTGCCGATTTATTAGACCCCGATTGCCTGCCGGCTTCGACCGTGGACTGCACAATGTCCACAACAACAGAATCATTAGCACAAGCTGCGCTAACACCCTCCCCAGCCATTACTGCAACAACAACATCTGCAGAGCATATTGCATCAGCGATGAAAGCTGCATGTGCTTGCAGATACACAGATTTTACCGACTTTAGGTTTAATCCCTCGTTCACGTAAAAGAAATCACAATTAGCAGAAACAGTCAAATTTAACCATTTTTTCAGATATTTATTAACAAGTGCTTCGAGCGAGTTAACCGTAGATAAGCTAAGATCGTGCATTGTCAAGACAAATCGCATGCATGACATAACGTATTCATTGTAAATTCGTACTTTAAAAACGCTGCGCAAGTTGAGATGGTCAACTTTCTTTAACAATGCATCCAGGCTCGAAAAAATTAAACTTCCACTGTTAACCGATTGATTTTTATTAAAAATATGAACACCCAGAAATTTCATAGGATCGTTAGAGATATTTGAAATGCTCTCCCCATTAATTTCAAAAGCAGTATCAGACGAAATTCCCTTAGAAAGTGAAAAACAGCGGCATTTGCCGGCATTTAAATGCAACCCGATGGACTTCATACGCACATTTACTTCACGTAGCAGTCTCTTCATGCTGGCTTTATTGTTAGTAACAAGCGTCAAATCATCGGCGAATGCGAGAGAAACTATTTTTTTCTCTGGAACGCTATCAAACGCAATTCCACGTTTTTGATTTTCTTCCAGAAACTCAATTACACAATTAGATGCAATAAGGTACAGCGAACAACTCATAGTATCACCCTGGAACAGTCCGACATTGAAAGGGATACGCTCAGAAAACGTATCGTTATGATAGACTTTAATCGCCAATCCCGTGTAATAATTATTAATGTAACTGATCAAATATTCAGGGACGTTATATCTGCGTAACGCCGCTAAAAGAACGTCCTTACGCACGGAGCCGTATGCATTAGCTACGTCCAGCCATGCAACATGCATAGCGCGTTTCTTCGAACGCTGTTGCTCAATCAGTTTGAGCAATTTTAAAGAATGTTCTCCACACCCGTTGGTCGCCTCGATAAATCCCTTTTGAATATCCGTATTGATTATTTTGTTTTTTACGCAATAGGACATTAATCTTTTCGAAATTACTGAATGAAAAACTTTGCCGATACAGCTGGTCAGCGTGATCGGCCGATAATTACCCGGATCAGAGCTGTCCCCCTTTTTAAATAACAGCACCGTCTTACCCACCTGCCATGAACTGCACGTCGTACCGGTAGACAATAATCGGTTAAACATATTAGCTAAGAATGTATGTACAGCCGGATACGGTTTCAAAAAAGAATAATTAATACCATCCAATCCTGACCCGGCAGCTGCGTCCTTCTGTGCCAAAATGTTTTTGATATCGGAGGGGAAAATAGGCGAATTATCAAAGGCGGTGGTTATAGGATTTAGTTTTAACTTATTCACCCAAGAAAAATTTAGAGGAGGGAGATTTTGTGGGTTACAGACATTGGTAAAGTATTCTTCGATATCGGACATTTTAAGGGCATCAGAAGGAGCATCGGCTGGAGACTTTAAATTTACGTCAATGAAATTCCACATTCGTTTCCGAAACCAGCTATCGTTTTCCTTACGTTCGGCATTAAACCTCAGCTGCGTGATTTTGGCTGACAAAGTTTTCCGGATAGTCTTCAGATACTTCAGTCTTTCCGCATATGATAATAAAAACTCCCTATCAGCTGACCTCATCCTGCGCTTATTTCGTTTCAGTTTATTTATTTCGGTACACACTTTCTCCCTTTCCCTGATCAACGCAGCTGGTACTGCAAATTTACAGTTTTTACTAAAAAACTTCCCTTGTGACTGTCTGCATTGTAGTACTAGTAATGCATACTGCGCTAATCCCCATGAAAAAATCTCGAGGCATTCATGTGCGGCCCAGAAACGTAAATCGCATGCAGAAATGAGTTGATTGCAAAAATCACCAAGAAAAGAATGAAAACGGACCGGTGCGGTATGATGCAATTTATACCAGTTCGGAGGAAGTATTTTCAGACGAGAGGTATTAGAAGATATTATAGTTTTAATATCCATTTGCACGTTACCGTATACCACGTCATGCAGATGTTGCCTAAGTCGTTCTTCCTGCCGGATTGAATGATTGGTGGGTTGACACATGGTGGTTTTTTTTTAAACAAAGAACAATAATCCGGTGTTGTTGTTGGTGGCAAAAACAAAGGTTCCGTAGTTTAAGAGATGGATCACGGCAGCTTTCGCAAAGAAAGCACCAGTTTAATAACACATCCGCTAGTAAAGGTGGACTTTTACAAGCAACTTGACCAGCCAGCTCAGAGCAGCAATCGCAAGTGAGCAGCAATCGCAAGTGAGCAGCAATCGCAAGTGAGCAGCAATCGCAAGTTGCCATTGCCGACAATACGCATTTAAGCATGTGGATTGTGCGGTGTGCCAACCGCACAATCAGAAAGCTACATGATTTTCGCCACACTCGCCAACCGCCCAGAGCGCTGCTTGTAGATCCCTACGGCGGTCAGAGGCCAGCGGCTAGTTTAAAAAGTTTGGGTCTAGTGGCCTGCGATCAACATCAAAGCTGACACATGCGTAGCCGCTCGAACAGCCGCTGAGTTGCTTGTATCTTGGCAGCGCCCAATTGTTTTGTTAATGGCACCGGAAATACAAATTTTCAAATCTGCCGTGGAAACCGGGTACCGTACGAGTAACAATACATATGCCGGTGACGTTGCTTCCGTCCACAACACACGCAATGCAAAAAATGTTAAATTTGAATGTGGGCTTTGCTGTTGCGAGTGCCAGATAGACGTTAGTACGGTATGTACTGACAGTAATTTATTGTGAAATGCAGGTATAAATTACCGATAACGTTTAAATTAGGTAGATGTGATCGTAATTTAAAAAAAGAAAAATTTGTTATAGAAATCTGCATAACAAATTTAATTATCCACTTATATTATACGAGGAGGTGCAGTTACATCCTTCTGTATATGTGGCGTAAACAAAATTCTGCTTTAGTTTACGATGTCGCGACGTCTGCCGTAAATGGATCACAATCATGGCATTATACACCGATTACCCGTGAGCATTATATTGCAACTGGTGAAACCAGTGCTACAGGGTGAGGCGCTAATTACCGTATTATCTGCAAGAAAAGATTCCAGAAAAAGCTTCTTGTACAATGATTGCTCTGTTTGTGCTGACATTAAATTATGTCACATTTCTAAAACATCACTTCGCTAGCAATATGCCGGCTTTTGTTGATATTCATAAGCATTGCTGTCAAGGTGGTTGTAGGTTTTTCTTGTCATATAGTTTATGATTATATTAATTTTGTAGAGCACAAAAGTATTGTATTCAGGTATCATGCTAATTAGTTCTGCCAACTTCCGGCAACAGTGAAACATCAATATTGGATTTGTAATCGAAAGTCCAGGTACTGCAGAATGTGATTGTATAGAGACACTGCAATGTACATTCCAAATTAACGACAAAAATGTTGTGGTCATCTTTCGGTGTTCTGCTTGGCATTGCTCAAATCCGATGTGCAAACACACAAGTGTCTCTTTCACCATGGGATCTGATTGGTGGAGCCAGGAATTCGTCTTTGTCCGATTTTAGCAACGGTAATTATTCGTGAGTGCATATATACCAGCTGAAGCAATCGTCATAAAATTATTGCGTTAATGCATATTACTAGTTTTGATTATTACTTATTATCTATATAAAACTACTGTAGTCTTATAAAAAGTAATAATCGAAACTAGTAATATGCATACACTTTTTTTAACACTTAACATCCCGATTTAGTTCGCAAGATTTTTGAAATGTAATCACCAAAATTTATGAAGAATATCTACTCTGTATTTTCTGTACGATTGATTTTACCGGTAGAAACTAAGTTAATTAACCCAGCGGCAGCTCCACAAAATGGAATCTACTTACCGAAAATCTGTGATGCCGACGATGAACAGCCATTACATCTGGAATCAACGGACGTCAGTCAACAGCCTATCTTTATGCTGAATGATTTCTCGATGCGGCTGACTGTAGCTGCCTGGATAAAGCTTGGTCTGCTTAATGTGGCTGGCTCGTATGGCATTCACCAAGTGGCAGTGACGAATTTGGACATGACCCCAGAAGCTATAGAAAATGCGCTAAACGTGGCATGGGAATCTCAAATCAGTAAGCTTGGCTACGCTGCATTCTCGCGAACGGTTGTAAATGTTGCTTTGAAATCGAGGGGGATCGACCTTTATTCTATCAATTACAGGCGCGACGGAAACTGATCTGGCAAAGTATGTTTCCGAGGCAGCCTACAGAATCCGGATATATATCGTGGAATTCGACCAATATCGGTGGTTTACACAAACCGGGTAACCTTTTCATACGTCCATTTTCACATACTTTTTTGCACTTGGAAAAATTGCAGAAATCCTGTAGTTCGTATCACTTACACGGTCGCCATTGTTAATACAACGGATTTCATGCAACTCCCATCCGAAATTCAACGTATGCCCTTGCCTTCACCAGAAGCGTTTTCAGCCCGACTACAAGCGCAGAATATTTCCGTGTTCGTCGGGTCAATCTTTCGCGGCTGGTCAGTTATTCTCCCTTTGAACACATCAAACGCGGAAGCTGCGCGATCCATTAAGGAAATTCTGCAACCGGAACTGTGTTGGGATACGTCGAGACTGTCTAACGTAACCAACGACACAAAGGTCAACGACATGCTGATTAAGACAGGACCGCGCACGTTCCAGAGCATGAGTGCCAAAAGAAGTGCTTCTACGACGTCAACAGATGCGACATTGACCCAAGTGTAAGAGAAAATTAGAAAATTCTATATACTGAACAGGCTCCAAATAAAATGACTGGTTAGTGTACTGTCAACTACTACAGGAACACACCGCTCATTTTACCGTTTTCGGTTGTCATCAATGGAACCGCTCTCCCGCCGGCGCCAATACTACTGGGTCGTGTCAGTTCTAAAATCCGATCAACGATGTCGGATGCTGACATGCAACCGTTGGATAGCTGTTTTCAGTTTGCGCTGGACCGACCAATTGACTTTCAGGAGACAGAAACCGTAGCCAATGGAATTACACACTATCTGCAGTCGGTTTTACCGGTGTCATCTTGGTCAGCTGCACTACCAGGTATAACTGATATCAGCATACTTTTGCGTTTATCTAGTACTTCGTTCTTGGTCTAAAAAGAATAGTTACCATAAAGAACGCAGAACGCAATAAACACTAAACAGGACGTAACCTACAATCTTGTACGCATCTGCCTGGTTTATGAGTTCCATCCAAACGAAGCTGCGTATTAAGCTCGCTGTGGAAAAATTTACTCGAAGTGTATTTGGTCGAAATATTTGTAGTTGACTAGCATTTTTACCTTAGATCCAAGTTCAAGAAATCAACCTGATAAGGAAACGAAAGGTACATTCGGACTGTCTGCCTGGTTTCTGGATACCACCGGAACGAAGATTTGCATTCAGCTCGCTGTAGCAGTCAACATTGCGGATGTGGTTTTCTATCTGGACGCTACCTTACCAGTGTACGCTCCCATCTATGCAGGCGTTCACGGGAAGAGAATCGCACTCAGTAACACTTCTTCCGTCGGTGTGATGACCGCAAAACGCACATCTTCTACAAATGCGAGTGCACCAGGAGCAGGAATTACAGAGCGTTACGTACTGGATTTGGCAATGACCGACATCCGTCAAGAATCCGAGCATGTCACTTCTACGGTATGACTGGATCACTGCAGCCTCTAAAGAAAGTGTCCAAAGTTTTTGTTCGGCTAGATGGTGGACCAAGTGGTAAAAATAGCGGTCGAAGCATTTCAGGCAGAAAACCCACTTCGTTTGAATAGCAACCGTCTGAACTTGACCCTAAATGGATATAAAGAGTTGTTAAACATGAATCTGTAAGTGCATGCGAAAGTATTCTGGCAATTTTTTTCCCGACTGCATGATTCATTTGCATCTTTTCATTTAATGAATTTAGGGAAAAGATTCTTAGGTTTGAATTTTCTATAACCAAATCCGGGGACGAGACACCTTGGAATCTTTGGAAATTTCCAACGCGAAAAACATTGGCAAAAGTATTGCAGAAATTTCGAAGCTGGTGGCTGCCTGCGGAAGGACGCCCTGTTGTTGTACCGATGGAGTAACTTTTTTAAACTTATTATTATGGTGTCAGTATACAACATACGGTTGCTCGCGCAGCCTCTACAAAGTTGGCACTAAGCTGATGAGGTGGGGATAAAAACATACCCGTACTTAAAAATTCTATACACAATGCAATGTAAGTACTCGTGCACTATAAGAATTTTAATGCAGATTGTACGCGGTGGGAAAATGTTGCTTCTGCTTGCGAAACTACTGAGAAAAAATCTTAAACTTTGCTTAATCTTAATCTTAAAACTTTGCTTAAGTAAAACCTGCGTCAGGTCTGCACTGACTCAGATCGGAGGATTCGAACGCGCAGAAGAACCGAACCCATACTCTCCAAAATCTGCAGAATTCAGAATTTTTTAGCAGAACACACAAACTTCTACAGTACACCCGAGCACAGAAGATAATATCAGCCAGAGTTGTCATGCCTCTGTCACTTCCCGGACCATTTCGTCGTCGTCGGCCATCTCACCGACCAAGCGCATGTACTGGTCTATGCGCTGCACATCCAACAACGGTCCTTCGCAATGCAGATGCTGCTCCAGCAGTTCCACAATATGCTCCTCTTTGATTTGTTCGCGCGTGAAGACGGCAACGGGAATACGGAACTCTATTAATGGTGTGCCTTGGTAGCTGAGCATCGTCAGAACATAATCCTTCCAGATCACACGATCACAGCATAACAGTAACAATGACAAATGTTCAGCGATACCTTTTATCAGCGTACCCAAGTTCCATGGAGAAGCACCAATCCACGTTGGACTGATCTTGATCGATCGCTGGTGCAAGATCAAACGGCCAACACCTTGCGTGCCGGAATAATGTAGCAGGCCTTCAACTCGATCTTGCGGTATATCAGCCCAATAATCGTCGCGCATGTCCCAAGTACTATAAGTTTCCGGTGGTTTGGAGAAGCAGATGGTGTGGGTGGCGGGTGTTACGTACTTAAAAAGGCAAGCGTAAACTATGTAATCAAAACTCCACGTTTGTGGTAACGAAGGGTCTGGCGAGGGTTGTGCTACACGCACATCTTGGCACAGCTCCACCGACTTGAGAATGGCTTCCCACAGCGAGCAGATGCGGCGGCAGCGCAGACGATCGATAGTGTCCATCATCAGGAAGACCTCTCTCAACACTTCCAATGGAGGCTTCGACTTCAAGCCATCCAAGCCATAGTCACTATCGTTCAGTGGCTTTATCTGCTTATTATCGACTTCTGATTCTTCAGTGTTCTCGGCTAATCTTTCTCTCTCGAACTCTCTTTCCTAGAGCACATAATGGAGATACCATAATTGTAGTATGAGAAAAATGTTTAGCAAAAACCGAAGGCATTATAACAACCACTTACAATGACGCTATGTCGAAAACTGTTGTTCTTCCGCGTAATGTAGTGCATTTGCTGGCCGAGAATTTTAAAAAAACGAAGTTCGAAGCGCCATTCAACCTCTTATAACAGCAGCGATGCAACAGATGGCTGTAAAACCCAGTAACCGTTTGGCACACTGCAGGTCCGCATGACGAAATGGTCCGGTGGAAGGCGCTTGGGCTCAAAGCAATCTCGTGAAGTATTGCGAATCTGGTCGTCCGGAATCACTTCGCGATGTTCCTGCTCACCCATGATTACCTCTATCCCCGAGCCCACTGAACACGGGAGCGACGGTTTTCGCATATTCCCAGGATACCATTTCCATGGAAGTTCCGGGCCGTCATGCAGTAGCACCATGACACTGTCTCCCGCTTCTGCACAGCCGTAGTCAAAGGAGGAACGGTCCCAAACCTCCTCGTAGGGGACTAACCTAGAATGCTGTGTGGGACTTCCGAAATAAATACTTAGTAACGAGACGCGGTAGCGTGCTATCGTTCTCTGGCTTCTCTTCCAGGCCTATAACATGACCGCGCACCATCACGCCGTCGATATTCACATCCACAGCGTTCCACGCTGTCTCCCGTCGCTTAATGTGTTCGTACAGGTGCATTATCTTGGGGTATCTTAGCAGACTCAGACAGCAAAGATAGCAATTCTCAACTGCCATACCTAAATCCCTCTCGTGTCAACTTGACACCCTTATTCGGACTGCTTGAGCGGGAGCGTGCCGTCGCCTGCGGGCTGGCTGTTCCGTTAGCAGATATCGGTGTCGGCGCTGTTGTTGTCACGTCAAGCCGTGATGACAGCGATTAAGTTGGCACGTTACCGGAGCCGGACTATTTTCTCAAGACTGCGATCCGATTGCTTACCGGGTAATTCCGTGACCTTCGGTGCCGGCTGCCTGTCAGTGTCAATCTCGCTCTCACTGGGTGAATGGTAACCTGCCGGTCGCGGCACCGAGCGTGTCAGCGGGCTTTTCGGAAACGTGGACAGGTTCAGGGAAATCATCGACGACTGATTATTAACAATTAGAATGTCTTCTTGTGATGACAGACTGCCAGATGAATCACCTGGCTTCAGTATCGTTTTGGGATGGGAAAATACTGAGCTTTTCGTGTCCTCTCGGTGCCGGTGCCAGTTGGTGGCGGCACAGAAGGGTTATTGTTTAATTTAGTTGAGGCTGTTGGGAAGGATGCGGCACAACCGCATCCACCCGCGGAGTTTTCAACGGGGTTTTGTTGATATCGATTTTGGGCGAAATTCCCTGTAACACGCGGGGAGCGTTGTTGCGCATCGGAGCGCGTGGACAGGGTTACCGAGGGTCCGAGACAGCAGAATGTGATTGTACAGAGACAGTGCAGTGTACTTGTACATTCCAAATTAACGACCAAAATGTTGTGGCCATCTTTCGATGTCCTGCTTGGCATTGCTCAAATCCGTTGTGTAAACACACAAGTTTCTATTTCACCATGGGATCTGATTGGTGGAGCCAGGAATTCGTCTTTGTCCGATTTTAGCAACGGTAATTATTCGTGAGTGCATGTTTGTCAGCTGCAGCAATCGTCATAAAATTATTGCAGTATTACTAGTCTTGATCATTTAATACTTAATATAATACTAAACTCTGATTAGACTTAACACCCCAATTTAGTTCGCAATTGCAAGTTACCTGAAAATGTAATCGCCAAAATTTATAAAGAATATTTTTTACCTGTTCTCGATCTATTTGGATTCACTCATGTGGGTGTAACAGCATTAATTTTACCAGTAGAATCGCACCCAGTAGTATCTCCACAACATGGAGTCTTCTTACCGAAAATCTGTGATGCCGACGATGAACAGCCATTACATCTGGAATCAACTAACTTCAATCAACAGCCTATTTTTATGCTAAAAGATTTCTCGTTACGGTTGACCGTAGCCGCCCGGACAAAGCTGGGGCTGCTCAATGTAGCTGGTTCCTATGGTGTCCATCAAGTGGCAGTGACGAATATGGACTACCCAAGAAGCAGCAAAAAATGCGCTAAACGTGCCATGGGGATCTCAAATCCGTACGCTTAGGCTACACTGCGTTCTCACAAGTCTTGTACAGTCTGTACAGTTTGCTTTGAAACGAGGCGCTATTGACCTTTATTCTATCAATTACAGACTCGGCGGAAACCGAACTGGCGAAGTATTTTTCCGAGGCCGTGTATAAAACTCGGATATATATCGTGGAATTCGACCAATATCGGTGGTTTACACAAACCAGGTAACCTTTTCATCCGTCCATACGAACATTTTCTACAACATTTCATTGCACTTGGAAAAAATTGCAGAAATCCCGTAGTTCGTATCACTTACACTGTCGCCGTAGTTAATACAACGGATTTCATGCAACTTCCGGCCGAAATCCAACGCAAGCCCGTGCCTTCACCAGAAGCGTTTTCTGCCCGACTACAAGCGCAGAATATTTCCGTTTACACTGGGTCAATTTCCCATGGCTAGCCAGTATTTCTCCTTTTGAACACATCGAACGCGGAAACTGCACGATCGATTAAGGAAGTTCTGCAACCGGAATTGTGTTGGTATACTTCAAGACCGGCTAACGCTACCAACGCCACAGATGTAAGCGGTATGCTGATTAAAACACGACCGCGCCCGTTCCAGAGCTTGAATGCCAAAAGAAGTGCTTCTATGGCGTCAGCAGATGAGACATTAACCCAGGTGTAAGAGAAAACAAAAAGGCCGTGACTGTACTGACATGATCGGGGCAGTACTGCACTGTATTACGTCATCTTCGTACAGCTAGTTGGCTTTGTTGTACGTGCACGGTGCAGCTACGGTGTAGCTGGCACACGTCCATTGAGTGAATGGGCAAATGCAGCGGTGATTCTGGTCTACAGAATCAGTCTTGACGAGTCTTGATTCTAGCTTGGTTCTAGATTCTGCGCGCATATTCCATCTTGAATCTAGTTCTGAGTATCCGGATGTCAGTGTGACCTTCGTTAGGGAGCTAGAGATAGTTCTTTAGCGGAAGTCGTGTGGATCAGCCAGACCATCGGCTGATCGGGATCCCTGTGTGTTCGTGTGTGTGGTGTTGCGTGTTTGGTCGTGATCGTGTTGTTGGTAATATTAATAAGAGCTTATTAATATTTCCGTGTATCTTCCACAAGTCAGTCCAGATTCTACTCTGCTGACGTGAGTCAGGTTGGTCGTGTATGCAATATTGTGAGTACAAGTATTGCAGAGCATGTCAGTACTGAACAATTCTCGTATATACAAGGACTGGTGAGTGTACTGTCAACTGCTACTGGGACACACCGCTAATTTTACCGTTTGCGGTTGTCCTGAATGGAACCGCTCTGCCGCCAGCGCCAGTACTGCTGGGCCGCGTCAGTTCTAAAATCCGAGCAAGGATGTCGGATGCTGACATGCAGCCGTTGGATAGCTGTTTTCAGTTTGCGCTGGACCGACGAATCAGCTTTCAGGAGACAGAAACCGTAGCCAACGGAATTGCACGCTATCTTCCATCGGTTTTACCGGCGTCATCTTTGTCAGCTGCACTACCAGATATGACTGGCCTCTGTCATCTACAAGTACTTAGTCAGTTCAGGTACTGAACCAGAAAGTAGAAACAAGCACAGTAAATAGTGACCTGTGGCTGTCTGTCTAATTTATGGATGCTACCGGAACATTCAGCTCGTGATGAAACAATTTATGTAAGTAATCGGCTGATGAAGTAGTATTTGTGATTGTACGAAGAGTTTGTTTTTCTTAGATCCAAGTTCAAGAAATCAGCCTGACAAAGGCACGAAAGGTACATTCGGCTTGTCTGCCTGGTTTCTGGATGCCAGCGGAACGAAGATATGCATCCAGCTGGCGGTAGCGGTCAACATTACGGATGTGGTTTCCTATCTGGACGCTGCCTTACCAGTGTACGCTCCCATCTACACAGCCGTTCACGGGAAGAGAATCGCACTCAGTAACAATTCTTCCGTCGGTGTGATGACCGCAAAACGCATTTTATCTCTTCGTACCAATGCAAGTACTGCTCCAGCAGCAGATATTAGGCAGCGGTACATACTAGATTCACCAATGACCGATATCCGTCAAGAATCCGAGCACGTTATTTATACGGTATGACTGGATCATTTCAGCCTCTAAAAAAAGTGTCCAGTGCTTTTTTCAGCTAGATGATGGACCAATTGGTAAAACTACCGGTCGAAGCATTTCAGGCAGAGAACCCACTTCGCTTGAATAGCAACAGTCTGAACTTGACCTTGGATGGATATAAGGAGTTGCTCAACATGAATCTGTGAGTGCATGCGAAATTATTCTAGAAAATTGTTTTCAACGGCACGAATTCGTTTGCATTTTCATCTTTTCGAAATTGTTTTAGGGAAAAAATCCTTAGGTTTGAATTTTCTATAACCAAATCCGAGGACGAGCCATCTTCGAATCTTTTCCAACGCGAAAAACATTGGCAAAAGTTTTGCAGAAATTTCGAAGCTGGTGGCTGCCTGCGGAAGGAAGTACAACACAATTGTCGTTCCGATAGAGTAACATTATTACTTAACTTATTCATTATGGTGTTAGCAAAGTCTTTAAGTTGGGCTTACGCGGTGTTAGTATAAATCGGTGTTAGTATTGGTGTTAGTACAGATATAAATTAAAATTGTGTGTGTTAGTATAAATATAAATTTTTAGTATAACTTAAATTGGTGTTAGTATATGTACAACATACGGTCATTCGCGCAGTCGCTGTCAGTTTGGTACCAAGCTGATGAGGTAGCGATAAAAACAGTCTTAAAATTCTGTACCCAATGCAGTGAAAAGTACAGTATTCTGTACATTACTATATTTAAAGTATGTAATCAGTTAATGGAGATTGTACGCGGTGGAAAAATACTGCTTCTGCTTGCGAAATTACTGAGAGGAAAGCAAACTTTGCTAAGAACTGCGTCAGATCTGCACTGATTCTTAATTCTTATGGACAAGGTCAAGTACAGAGCCCATACTCTACGAAATTTACAACTCAGTGCTAGTACAGCGAAAAGCCATTTGATAACACGTAATGCATATCAAAAGCATCCAAGAAAATGAAAACTGCCAACCTAGCCGGAAAAGCCTTCGCACAAATGTAACACATAATTCATACACGCTAAAAACGCGTATCTCTATATGCTAAAAAGAGCAACCCGCACTGAGAATGCAAGACGATAAAATTACACACCCCAAATCTCCCCCACAGACTACTGAACCGCACGGACTGAGCAAATAAAAAGAACAAAGCGAAAGAATATTCGAAAAAGCAAATCAAAAGATAACCCGCGAATTCCTCACTGTCCAAGCACACTGGGCGCATGTTTGGCGGCGGGACTCTTAGGACAGTGGCCTTGCCCGGCCGCACAGCGCTCCTTGATCACCTCCGGTGGCACCGGCAGCACGGGGACGGTGGTGCGGGTCAGGTCGTCGACGTCCACCGGATCCGTCTGCTGCAGAGTCTCCACGTCGCGGAAGATGACGGAACGGCCGCGAGTGGCCGTGGGGATGATTTCGCCCTTGTACAGCTGCGTGGAGACGCGGCCGTCGCGGGGATCGGCCGTCTGCACCTCCACCGTCAGACTGTTGGCGGCCTTGGTGTCCCTGAGGGTCAGCTCGGTGACTGTGGGCCCCTTGCGGCCCAGCACCGTCCCCATGGGGACACGGTTCTCGCGGACGAGGTTGACGGTCTTGGTGCGGGGACTGCAGACGCCCAGGTTGTAGCGGGCGTTCACGTAGGGACGGCTCTGCAAACAGCTTTAACGTAAGATGCATGCAGATGCCGGCAAATCAGAGAAAACAAAGCCAACTGTACAGATACGATACAAGCAGTGATTATTAAAATAAGCATTACTAAAATGTCCACTGCAGAGTAGCATGAATTTGAAAACAAAATCATACATCAACCGAAAAACGACAAAATAAAAGACTTGCGAAAAATTTCACCAGAATGCGTGGAAATCAAAAATGCATGGAAAGAGCCAAAATTAAATGGAAAATAATTAGTATCCAATAACAAAACCATCTGTAAAGCGCTAAACTGGTTATACAATGTTTACGGGGTTGACTAGTCAGGCCTTTACACTACGAATCATGCACACAAGAAATTAACAAGTCATGTTAGGAAATACTGATAAATTCGTCAACGCAAAGCCCACAAAGTTCTTATGCAAATTTAAAATGTTCCGTTATCATTATCTAAAGATTCATCTTGCACATTGCGCAGTTTAACTTCAATCTATCCATTTAATTAAATACAATTATCTCCATGTTAACGTCTCACATAACCACTTCAATAAAATTCTCCCTAGTTATAACTGAAACAAAAAAAGTAAACCGATATTCACAACAACGGCTCATCATCTTTATGCAGATGCCGTATCTGACCGCGCTTCTCCCGGCGTACCTCGCTGCGATCACTGCTCGTGGCCGGTGACTGATCACGGACGCGGGTGCGCTCTCGTTCGGCCTCACGGTAGACGTTGGTATGGTGGACGGTACTGGTCGTGGTGGTGGCAGTCTGTGTGCGGGATGATGAGCTGGGAGCGGACGGGACAACGAGGCTCGGTCCCGTGTAATCACCTTCGATCAGCGCCCGGATACGATTCAACTTTTCCGACTGCTCGCCGTACCGCTTAGACAGCACCTCAGTGTGTTCCTGGAATCGGCGACCCTGCAGTTCAGAATGCGAGTTACAAGACTGACTTCAATGCAAAACATTACGAAATAAGGATGAAATCATGCGAAAGAGCAGCGCAGGGCAACAACAGCAACTGCCAGATTCTTCATAATTGTTATGCTACCAGTACACGAAAGTCTACATTCCTGTACAATTTTTCGGTGCATTTTGTTGCGCATTTTCATGTACAATCAACAGTGAACACTATACTAGCACATTCTGCAGCTAAATTCATATATTATCCAATGGATTTAACAGAAGTCATAATGTAAAAACTAAAACATATGTATATCAAAATAATTTAAAAAAAACGGTGACACAACCTTCACAAACAATCTTTAGACTTCCGATAAAACGTAAATTTACCAATTAGGGACAATAATCTACATTTAAAATCAAATTTAATCAACACAAATTGTGAGAAAAAGATTATAATTTTCCCGCGAAGTTTGTCTTACCATTTCTTTTTCCTGACGGTCTGCATGTTCTCTGGCCTGCGATCGGATTCGGGCGGTCTGGTCCCGCATGCGTTTATCTTGGGTACGGGACTGATAATCTCGGTCTCCAATCTGATTGAGCAGCTGCAAGCGTTCCTGTTCGGTCAGATTGAATTCGCTTAACAGATTGCTGGTTGTCCGGGTAAGCTGATCACAGCGCCGTTTCAGATCCTCAATCTGTTGATCGCGATCCAGAAGCTCGCGACGCATAGCGACATTTGACTGGGAAATCAGAAACAAACAGCGTCAGAATTCATAAACACAAACTCGCAAAAGAACACCGCTTCGATATGACCGATACTGCAAACTGTCAATATTTCAGAAACACTGCAACTGTAAAAACTTAAAAAATTGAGGAAGCAAATCCTTGGAGTCCGCGTTTTGTAAGAAAAAAAATTTCACTTCTATTAATTTTAGCAAGCGAAGACGGTAGGTAACTGATTACACACAAATGTATTTCACACACACACCACACACTTCACACGCCGGCTCCTAGCTAATCTTACCCGTCGCAGCTCCTGATTCGCGCTAAACAAACCCTTCAGTCTCTCAAAGAATACAATTTCTAGAACATAAAACAACGACATAATTTCCACCGAAAACATAAAGCAACTGGTACCACTTCGGCGGCTCTCACCTTGGTCTTTGAGAGCGGAATACGTGGCTCTATGACGCTTAATCCGATCCTGCAGGAATATCGCCAGATTCGGCAATGTCATGTTGTCATCCGCAGTTGAAAGCTATAATGAACCAAAAAACTAAACGACACTTTCACAGACAGCAGCTTGCACTCACAGTCAATAACAGCATACCGTAACTTACTCATGTACTTTGATAATAATCACATAATTAATAATCTCATAATCACATAATACTTACATAATTATCACAAAATATTCGTAATTAACTAACAACTTCCGTTATTGTTAAACGGGTTGACTCACATCTTCTTAGTTATTCCAGGCCCTGGATGATCGTTACCCCATTATCCGTTAATACTTAATAATAACTACACAGCGTGCTTCCACGAAAGTGATTTAATCAACTATGACCATGACCATGTCTCAATACTGTCGCTATCAAAGACGCTACATCTATCTGAATGATTGTAAAAAAGTGCTGAATTAAGGAACATAATAGTCGCCTGCAAACTTACGTATGAAGTATGAACTATGAAGCCGGTAAAAAGAATACTGTAAACGAGCGAAAAGTGAACTATTCGGACTATTACAACCGCTTCACAACCCGTATCAATCATATTACTGTACTTACATTCAAAATTCACAGGCAATTATTGCCATAACTTCATTAAGCATACTGCGCACGGTATATTATTATCATTCGTATTAAGTACGAGTATGCAGTAACATCTGACTGACCTTGTAAGGAGGAAAGATGATGGTCTTCTCCACTTCATTAATAAACGCCGTTAACTTCTGCCGTGTGATGGTGTGTTGTTCCATTTCTTCCTCCAACTTACGCTTCTTGTTTTCTTCGGCTAAAAATCGTCGTCCTTTAGCCAGTCCCATTTCACCTCTTTCAAAATCAACTTCACGGGCACGTTGCACTTGGATTTCTTTTGACAAGTCCGCAAATTCCAAAACATGCTACATAACACCAGAAACATCGATTTGTAGAATGAAGGAAAATCTCATCAACAAGTCACGTCATCAGCCAATTTTCACTCCATCTCGCCTCGCACATCTAAACCTTCGCAAGCACAGGTTGACAAGGAGACTCGTAAATCGTAATGAAAAAACGGAAAACCTCTGATAACAAACAGTTCTCATCCAATCGCAACCGGCCAACCGCTGCACATGTATGTACAAGTACAATGGCCGCCACAAGGGGAACCGCATGTACTGTACTGCAAAACCGCTTTCGTCGTGTTCGTATTGCAAAATCACCCGATCAACAACGCCTCATCACAGCAAAAAAATTGAATACGTGCGATAATAACAACATTAATTTTCGAACACGTAACTCGTAAAGGACCGAACCACTGAAGCAAATAAAGTTTAAAATATCAAGATCAAACAAAACACCGCACCTACATGCTCTCTCTTGAAATTACTGCATAAGCTTACGAATTTTTGAAGATAAGAATAATCGTATTATAGCATTAAGTCAATGATTAAGACTATTAATGCTATTTTCGATTTTTCTAATACTTTCGCAGTGTTTTCCCCGGTCAACAGTTTACTTACCACAGTCTCGTCAAATTCTTCCGCGCTTGGGTTCAAGCATATAATCATCCGCACCTTGCCTTCCCCTTCGAGATAACTTTTGAATAACTTCGTTAAGGTGGATCCATTATACGAAACCATCTGTAAACAATTTCTGGTCAGCATGTTAAATTTACTGGAGTAACTGATTAAATGCCAACAGCACGGGCTCAACAAAAAATTTACCACGCGTGCGGCATACAGTATGGTCAATAATTTTGTAACAATGACTGCAGGTGCAGTAGCCGGCAAAAACTTTATGAGTCAATTTATTTTCGTTTGATTGTGCTTGTTTCATGGAACTGTATGGTAACTAGAGTTAGAGAAGCGAGTGAAACAGAATCTGAAAATAAATGCCAAATACCAAACCAAAGCAAAGGAAAAACCGTCGAGGAAAATTAGACACTTACAATTACACCAACGAAGAAAATTAGACCAACGAAGAACACAAATTACATACTAACGTGTTATTAGTATATATTATTATTATTACTATTAGTACATTCTCGTATTATTGCCATTATTAGCACATGTTAATGATGTTACTGCTTTCCAAAAAATATAAGAAAGTAAGTATATACGGCAGGGTAAACAAAAATTTATCTTTATCTTTTGACATGCCAGTAGTGAGTGAGGTACAGAAAGAACCAAAAGAGTACTGTACTGAAATTAAATTTGTTTACAGTACTTGTACAGCAGACAACAGCTTTTGCTAAATCCAGTTTATCATAAATTTTTGTTCCATTTCAAATCATCCAAATAAATAGTACTAGCAGCCGAGCAATATTAGACAAAATACTTCTTGACATTATAGTTTGTGTAGTGTATGATGTTGCTAAGTGCAAAAGGTCATGAGTTGTGGTGTGCGATAATACTGATGATTTAGTACGATTACCAGCTGGGTACGAGAATCTGAGACTTTGTGCTATTACTCTATTATATCATATTAAAGCGTATTACATATACGACATTGGCGTGAAGGCGGTATTACTCAAGCGAGTGTATGCCCGGATCGGTCGATACATCCACGTCGACTTCTGATACTTCCCCAGTGTCTTCCCCAATGACTGCCGCGAAGGAGAAAGCCCAGAACTTAATCCGTTTCAATCCGGATCAGATTGAATGGACATCCTGGAAGTCCCTCCTCAAAAACTACCTGTCCCTCACAGAAACTACAGCTGCGAAGCAGAAGGAAGTGCTGATCAACAGCCTGGAATTGCGCGCCTTCCAGGATGTTGTCAGCGCTGCCGACCGAAAAGATCCAACCGAATTTTCGTATGATGAGCTGCTGAAGAAACTCGACGACATATACATCAAGGTGACCTATCAGACGACTGAATGGGCTACATTCTTCCGCACCCGTCAGCAAGCTAGCCAGTCGCTCGTACAGTTTTCTAATGAACTACGGAACAGAACATATACGTGCAAGTTCCGGGAGGCATCCTGGAGGATCTACTGAGCGCTGTGTTTGTTGCGGGAGTGCATAGTGATACGACGAGAAGACACCTGATGTCCCAGGAACTCAAATCGTTTGATGAAACGCTGCAGCTCGCCAGAAGGTTTGAAACGGGACAGGAGCAAGCAAAGATGAACAATAACTTGGAGGAAGACATTCCCACGGTAAAGGTCATCCGGAAAGCAGGAAGAGGCAATGCTGCCAGACAGCCGAGCCCACGGAAGACGAAGGCCTGTTACCGATGTGGTGGGACGAACCACGATCAAGCGGACTGCAAATTTCGCAATCAGCCTTGCCGGAAATGTGGTAAGGATGGACATATTGCAAAAGTTTGCAGATCCGGAGCGGCAAAAGGAAGGGGAACCCAGCGACGCAGTGGCAGAGTGGAAGCCGTCTACGACGTGCTGAACACGACCACTGGAGAAGGGGATCCCATCATGGTGCATTTAACGGTCTGCCGACGGTCAGTTGCGTTTGAACTGGATACGGGATCGGCGAAGACCATTGCCACCAGGAAGATGTGGATCGAACTGAAACGACCGGACCTGTTCCCGTGCGACTCGAAGCTCCGTAGCTTCTCAGGACACGAAATCCCAGTCCTTGGAGCTTGCTATGTGGGAGTGAAGCGCGACGGCAGCAGTGAAGAACGGTTGATGGAACTCATTGTGGTGGAGGAAGGCACGAACGTCCTGGGAAGGAACTGGATCACCGCGCTCAACCTCCAACACCACAAGATGTCTGAACTGGCGATTGGTCAGGTGCAAGAAGAAAGGTCACTGGAAGCCATACTGAAAGAGAACAAGAATCTCTTTCGGGAAGAACTTGGATGCTGCCGGACGTTCCAGGCGCATCTGCACCTAAAACCGGATGCAGTGCCGAAGTACTGCAAGCCACGCCCCGTGCCTTTGCGTTACGACAGCCCGTGGAGAGGGACATCGAGCGCCTGGAGAGATTGGGCGTTCTGGAACGGATCGAGCGATCGGCATGGGCGGCGCCAATAGTAGTGGTGCGGAAGCAAGGCGGAGCAGTGCGGATATGCGCGGATCTGAGCACCGGGCTCAACGATGCCCTGGATGTGCAGCGGTATCCCCTGCCCTTGCCCGATGAGTTGTTCGCCATACTAAATGGCGGAGAGGAATTACAACGATTGACATGTCCGATGCATATCACCAGGTGCCACTGGATGAACCGAGCCGTGAGTTGGTAGCGATAAATACGCATCGCGGACTGTATCGCTACACCCGACTGCCGTTCGGAGTGGCTGCAGCAACATGGATGGAGAACACCCCGTTCGCTGTGTAATGGACGACATGGCAGAAGTAGCCGAACGAATGAACCGACAAGGATTCACCCTGAAACAGCAGAAGTGCAACTTCCTTCAGCTGTCGGTAGAATACTTGGGATTCGTGGTTGACAGAAACGGCCGACATGTTTCCGAAACGAAGATTCGCGCGATCATGGAGATGCCAGCACCGGTGGACGTCGCCCAGGTACGATCCTTTTGGGAATGATCAACCATTACGGCAAGTTCATTCACCAGCTGGCGACCAAGACGTACTGCCTCAACGCCCTGCTGAAAGTGGACGTCAAGTGGGAGTGGTCAGGAGAATGTGATGGTGCCTTCCGCAGCCTGAAGGCGGAGCTGGCACAGGCCACAATGCTGGTGCATTACGATCCTGCAAAGCCGCTAATCCTCGCAGCGGATGCGTCGCAATACGGGATCGGAGCTGTCATTAGCCACCGCGGACCGAGCGGAAAGCGACCAGCCCATTGCCCATGCATCAAAGACGTTGACGCAGACTGAACAGCGGTACGCGCAGATAGAGAAAGAGGCGTTGGCCTTGGTCTTCGGCGTGAAGAAGTTCGACCAGTACCTGGCGGGTCGGGAGTTCACACTCCTTACTGACCACAAGCCGTTGGTCACAGTGTTCGGCCGGAAGACTGGAATCCCTGCGGTATCTGCCAACCGCCTCCAGCGGTGGGCCATTGCACTCATGGCGTATTCCTTTACCATTGAGTACCGGTCTACCGATGACTTTGGACAGGCTGACGGACTGAGCCGGCTGCCCTGCACTCGAAGGACATCTTCGATGCCAACGACTGGGGAATGCACGAAGCCATCCATGCTGTCCAAATGGAAGTGTTGAGTGAAACACCGGTGGACGCGAAGAAAATCGCTAGTGAAACTGGCAAAGATCGCGTGCTGGCTCGGTGTCGTCACTTGGTCCTTAAGGGATGGCCAGAGAAGGCACCACCGGAATTTCAGCCATACCACCAGAGACGATTGCAACTGTCGGTGGTCGCTGGATGTGTCCTGTGGGGAGCGAGAACCGTCATTCCGGAGTCCCTCCAAGCGGCCCTGCTGAAACATCTGCATGCTACACATGCTGGCGTGGTGCGGATGAAGGCGGAAGCCAGAAGTCACTTCTGGTGGCCTGGACTGGGCAGCGACATCGAACGGCTGGCCAAGAAATGCCCTGCTTGCACGATGGCAGCAAAAGAGACGGCGAAAGTGCCCTTGCAGCAGTGGCCAGTTGCCGAGAATCCGTGGCAGCGTGTGCACATGGACTTCGCAGGCCCGTTCCACAACGAGATGTTTCTTGTGATTGTGGACAGCTTCTCGAAGTGGCCGGAAGTCGTCAAGATGCGGCGTACGCAGTCCGGCGACGTGATTGCCGTGCTGGAACATTTATGTGGCCGTTATGGATACCCGAAACAGCTGGTCACGGATAACGGGCCGCAGTTCACCAGTGCCGAGTTTGCAGACTACTGCAAAGCTAACGGGATTGCGCACCTGCGCACGGCGCCTGGACACCCGCAATCGAACGGGCAGGCGGAGCGGTATGTTGGCGCATTCAAGGACGCCATGACCAAGATGTTGGCCGACAACAATGGTAACATCGAGGATGCATTGCGGAAATACCTATTCAGGTATCGTACGACACCGCAAGCCACCACAGGAAGTTCGCCTGATGAGCTATTCCTGAAGCGCCGAATGCGCACAGCGCTGGATTTGGTACATCCAGATGCGAACGAGACACGGCAAGCCAACATGGACCGTCATAAACGTAACTTCGATCAGCATGCCAAAGCGAAAAACTTCCATGGCGAACAGCTAGTGTTAGTACGTGATTTCCGCCACGGTCCTAAAACCCATTGGACACCTGGCCAGCTGCGGTCTAAGAAAGGAAACCGTCAATGGACAGTTACGGTCGACGGCCAAGAGTGGTTCCGCCACGAAGACCAGATCAGGCCGCGTGAATGGCGTACTGCAGCTGAGCCCAACGACGTTACATCGCCAACAGTGCCAAAGGCGATGATATCGGAAATCCCACAGCGTGATCAGCAACCTGCAATAGCGGAGCCTGTCATCCAGCCACAGCCGGAACCAGCTCCGAGGACAGAACTTCCTCCGGTAGCAGTGCCTGCTACAGCGAATCCTGCTCCTCCATTGCGTGTGTCAGCGAGAGCGAATAAGGGAGTAGAGCCAACACGATACGGATATGCAAAATAATTTTTTTTTTATCGGGGGAAGGAGATGTAGTGTATGATGTTGCTAAGTGCAAAAGGTCATGAGTTGTGGTGTGCGATAATACTGATGATTTAGTACGATTACCAGCTGGGTACGAGAATCTGAGACTTTGTGCTATTACTCTATTATATCATATTAAAGCGTATTACATATACGACAGTTTGCGTTCCATGTAGCGACAACAAAATCTACTAAAAAAATCAATAATAAAAGCCATTATTGCATAACTGCGTCAGCCTGTCAACGAAGCATACTAATTCGTAAAAAGCCCTCACCGGCCCAAGCTCTAACCGTGAACTTATCAAGGATTCTGACACGAAAACGCCATTTCATAATTGCCCTTTCACACGTGCCTTTCTCCAGCTGATTGCTCACACCATACCGCTCTCATCGATCATTAAGTAACAGAACAGACCACACGTACACACACAACTCTCACCTGGAACGGCTTGAGTCCTTGCTGATTATTCCGTAATTGGCCCAAACATTGGCGTAATGTCATCAGGGAAATATTGATGTAACCTACGGACAAAGAACGTCCAGGCTGTTAATGCACAGCATGCCAATGCCAGCATTCATTTCCCGTTGCAAAGTGCTGATTTTTCACGACTGCATGAAAGCCAACCAAGATTGCGCAATAACAAATAGGCAAATCTCATAAAGCACCCATCACCACTGCAGTTTCCGCTAATTTAAAAACCAGCCAAAGAGCCATCAATCCAAAAAACGCTTGAACAGTTTTCAAAAATTAGTATGTAACTGTGTAAAGCAATATCAAGTAACAACCGGCAAAGTCTTTAGAGAACTATTTTGGTTTTTCTTGCATTTACGCAAAGCAAACTGAACCCGGGCCCTAATGGAGAAAATCCAGTTTACAGAAAAACCATTAGGCTACGGCAGCAATCAGCAGCTAGGCGCAGAAGAAAACCTATACCATTTCCGGTAATTAGACCATTGTTCCCGCTCCGCAGTCTTTCATCCATAAAACCGCACATATAACACCCACCTGCTTCCTTCAACACAGCGCCAATGTTTTGTGTCCTTTTTTGCCGTTCACTTCCGGCCAGATCCACCAACGCCAACTGGCTTACGACGACCAAATCATCATCGTGCACAATGTCATAGCCGTCTTTATCCAAGGGCACCTGCACCAGCCGGATGAAGAAAATGGCATGACTGCGGCTGGATGTGGCGTTCAGCTTCGTGGGCGCTTCACGCCGATTAGCCTGACCTTTAAGCAAAAACAATCCCACATACATTTTGTACACCATTCGACAACGGCTACTGTTTTTCCCAGGGAAGGGTTTTGGCGAGGTATGATCAAATCGTAATGTACTCGTACTTTTTCAAGCATAAATTACAGCAAAAAAATTTCGTTTTTGATTTTTTCCCGCTTTTTGGCAAAAATCCGAATTTCGCTGAATACTTTCTACATCAATAAATACCTATTATGGACACAAAGCTCTGTTAAACTCGCTACCTGTACTTCTGTAGTGCACGCATACTATGTACTGCTGTTCAATAAATTCCTCAACCGCATGACTGGAATAAGTAAAACTTCAAAAAAATTAATTAATCGTTAAAAAAGACTAGTGCTGAATAATAATGAATATGAATGGTCCAGGAATAAAAAAAATACACACGATTTAACTCCAAAACAGCCATTGTGGAGTCCATTTAATTACTGAATCTACAGCCTCAAAAATATTAATTCTGCCAGAATTCGTAAAAATAGCGGAAAATGTCAGACCTTGGGAAAAGTATCGCAGACCCTCGTCGGCACTCCGGACTTCCCGCCAGTTAGTGTTGGAGACATAAGGTTTCCCTTTACTATCCTTCGAGATATTCGGCGCTTTTTTTTTATTCCTGGAAGCCAAGGGCACAATTATTAGTCAGCAGCAATGCAGAAGCACCACATACAACATCATACTCCTTATCTTCTCCGAAACAATTACTCTGTAAATACCCAGATGAAGGTCACAAGAAAAAAAGCAAATCAATATCTGTTCACAGCAGCGCGTAACTGAATCGAAATAGGTATAAGAAGTGCTGTACACTCAGTACACCATTAATCCATAAAAGCACAAAAACCATCACGATGTTGCCGGTGCAATATGATCACTACCGCGTGAAGCGGAAGTAATATTTTCCATGTGAGGATATCTTAATAACACGATGATGACGCACAGTTCTTGAAGAAGCAATCAACTAAATAATTACCTGCACCCATTTCGGTGAAACAAAACTAACTTCGTTCTTAATAAACAGGCGCAGTGACATCCTCCAAAAGCCATGTTTTATGAAGTTCCTTTTTACGCAATATAAAAAATTTTAATTTTCAAGGTAGCACACGTGCACAAAGTTTCAACATATTTTTTTTACTGCGATAAACAGGGATAGCTCCAGCTTAAATATTTTTAATGCAATGAACTTAGAAAGTTTCAACTGCAGTGGCAGCTATGACTTTCAATTTTCAATAATCGTCGCAGTATCGAATAACCGTTAACCGTCGCGTCAATAGTAATCAATATTATTATTAACACTCACCGCTCTTCCTTCTCACTGGGCAGCAGATCATTGACGCCTTTTTCCCCATAGATCTCCACAAAACTGACAAAAACGCCGTATTTGGCATCTTTATCAAAATCCGAGAAGGCCGGAGGGTGATCAAGTTTCTTTCGGTTGGTAAAATCCAAATCCCTACCCCTCATCGCCGTCCCACCGCCACTCCGATGGGCGCCCACACTGGCAATCCGCTCCAGTCGGTCCTGTTCTTTCAAGATCTCGAAGGTGCTATAGTCTGTGGGGCGAATCTGGAAGGTCTTAGCCAGCAGACCATCCGGTCCAAATTCCTCAAACTGGCTTCCCACGATGGAATTGAAGATAACGTCCAGCGTCTGGGGGATGATGCCGGGGTCTTGGGGTGAACCGAGCATGGTAAAGGTCTTCCCGGAGGAGGTGATGCCGTAGCAGAATAACAAACCTAATACAACAAGTGGACCACTGTCATAATCCGTGGGTTGACTTGATTGCCGCGTAAGCCGATGATCATCGATAATACATGGGAGAACAAATGGATGGATTAATCCATTACAGCATTACTTCCCATTTATCGCCCACTACACCGGCGGAAGTGAGAATGCAGAGAATTATCATTTAGTCAATGAAACAGAATAGAATAATATGCCTGGAGGTACAGCACAATAAGCAAGACGCACTTCGCAATATTAATCTGCTTTTATCGCCTTTACATCCACTGACGATTACAATTCACATCCATACCAATTTTCCGCGAATTATAAAAATAAAATCATTGCAAAAATTTTGTTTTTCGTTTCGACAGCAATATAATTATCAGGAAAACCAAATTTGTTAAAAAAAACGAAAACATCGGAATTAATGCGCAAGCTGTGACAAGCACGTGAATTAAATTAACAATTGTAAGCTGCTTTAGCTTATCATAAAAAAATAATTCAGTTCCAGCTTTTACTGTTTTACAGATGAATTTTGGATTAAATCAGCGTTACAAAGATGTTCACTAGAAGCAAGTCAGCTGTTGATAATATTATATTTTGTACCGAAACAGTGAAAATTATACGAGTATAACTCATTTATACCAACCGAAGTAACAGAAAATATTCTTCACTTCGCTGACTTGCAAACTCATTAATTTAAAACTTTTAACTTCAAAAATATTAGCACAATACCGTCTTTGCCCAGCAGTAGATCGTGGACCAAGGGCAGAGCCACATGATTGAAAACTTCGGTCTGCGTCGCGGGCTCGTCAAAAACGTATCTGAAAGTATGCTGTTTTTCCGGAGCGTTTAATTTGTGCTCAGGTGGTATGAGCTGGACAATCTGGTCTGACACCACTTTCACACATCGGGGAGCGTGCACCGACGACAAGTTCCGTATCCGGCAAAACACCTCTACGGGATCCGTCGCAGCCTCCACAGGCCTGCGATCACGACCCGGGCGCTTGCGCGACGACTGATTCCTGCAACGTTTTCGCATTATCGTTAAATCTGAATACTGTGAAGTGCAATGGCAGAATATTAACTATCACCACTCAGGCCACTAAAACACTCTCACATTTAAAAAATCTCGATCAAGGTCAGCAGCAAGACAACGATTAATCGATGGGGGAGATATTCAATGTGAAACGGCTGGAGAATAAGGATGAAGAACCAGGAACGTCACGATTTCTCCTCGAGTCACTCGTGCGTTCCAAATCAATCATTCATACGTGATAATCAATTTTCACATTGTGCTGGATTTAAAAATGCTAACAATTAGGAAGGTATTAGGTTGAGCAGTCCCACACGATGGTATGAAAGTTGCAGAAATTAAAAATTCAAACGAAGGGAAAAAATGGGAATTTTGATCGCGCATAAACAACTGCATCGATCAAGCACGTTGAATACAATGCGACACACGCCAGCTTGACAGCTGCCAACGTTCGGCTTTAGGTTTCGACTGTAGTCGGTATCGACTCGAGTCAAAGTTATGGGAGGGCCACGCGCTTCGACCAATACAATTTGTCAAAATCACACAGCCAACGAATGACAGATTTGCCCACCGAGCGTCGGCTTTCTTTTGTGGAGAGTCGAGACTCGAGATTCACACAAATGTAAAGCGTATTGAATAACATTAATTTTAATTTTCATGGGATTTGCTTGTCTCTTTCACTTTTATAAATAATTTATTCATAAAAGTGAATAAATAATTTATTCGTAAAAGGAAATTTTTGGAAAAATTTGCGTTGATTTGAAAAGATTACTTATTTATTATGAATGTAAGTAATTTTTGCAGCAAAGTATACTCAAAGCAGCGCACTATTATTCACCCGACAAAGAAATCCCTTTTAAGTTCAGTTTTAACTCACAATTTTCAAAAATCACTGTGTTTTTAAGACATATATTGCAAAGCCAGCCTCTACAAAACTCCAAGATGGTGATTCCCATTACTTGGATAAGAGTGAAATTAAAGGACTACAATACTTTACCAGTTTGTGTACTCGTTCGCAATATCATTATCTACTGTCTACTGATAACATTAATAATGAGTTTAGCCACTTCAAGTATCACACTCTCCGTAGAAGCACTTTTTATTGGATGAATTAATTTTTGTTGCTTGCAGTTAAAAAATTTGCATCAGTTTCTCAATTTTTAATGACCAGCAGCTTGACTTTCCCGTTCGATTGATATGTACTGTAGTTGCCTTTAACGGTAAGAAACACTGGAACAGATGTAGTTCAATGGCATATGTAAACTGTTCCAGAAGGTCACTTAAGTCATTTGAAATGTACACTTATAATTTTGATAAATGAGCCGAGCACGCGGTCTCCTTCATTTTTTAAATGGATAACCCGCTACATAGATTTGTGAATTTACAACGGACAACGAAAATCATGTGGTAATGACAATTCGCTGATCGCAATCGAGAGCCCCCTGTTCAAAACACACACTCGTAATATTTGTATAATACTACATACCACTAATATCTGTATTAGTGCTTCACTGCTTCCGGGTTTTGGAATGTTCAGAATAAGCATCAGCATTCTGCGCGCCGGCGCCGCTATTGTTGCAAAGAATGGAATTAATCGTATAATGTTTTATGTACACCAGATGTCCTTATGATTTTCCACGTCCTGTCATAAACTGACAATACATAGTCACAGAAATAGCTTCCACCGTAAACGAATCGGAATGATAAACGATGACAAAATAGTTATTGTTCAAAACGTCAAAAATACAACAGCAAAATTGCGCGAAAAAATTTTAAGCAAATTTTCTTGCTGAGAAGACAAAACACAACCCAAAGCTTACCACAAAAACAAAACGCACCATTTAGTGATTTGCCTCTGCGGGCATCGCTTTCTTCATTTCCGTTTCATACACCAACAATCTCCATAATTTAACTACAAAAATTTCAGCATCTTCGTCCAGCACCTGCAAAGCACATGTTTGTTCAGAAAAAGTAATGCGATCATGCCTCATTGTGTTTCACAGTATTAGTCGCATCAAACCGAAATGCTAAAGTATGCCGTTATACAGATCTACGTCATATCATGAGCACGTTTTATAATTACGTTATAAATAAATACTCCAACAAAATTATCACTATAACAGACAAAATTTAACAAAACATTCACATTTTACTTCAAATAAAACAAAGGACGACAGATTATATATCAAACAGAAAAGAAATTATGAGTTTCTTTCTGTTCTTGCTATAAGGGTAAACGTAATGCAAATGATGAAACTTACCATCGATATGTCGCCGATAATACTGCGAGGAGTGGCTCGGCTGCTAATCTTTTGTGCGATAAATTCTACCAGTGTTTGCTCTTCTTCACCAATATATTCCTGGATTTTCTTGTTAATCCACGGTTTAACGCGCCCATCCATTAGACTCTATGAGCAAGCAACAAAATAAAAATAACTAGTAAGAAACACAGCAGATTTTTACTAATCTCCGAAAACACGGAGGCCGTCCTGAAACCAATGAAACGCAAACAAAAGGAGAACGCCGTACCTTATCAAGGGAATCCCACGAAATAGGATAATCGAACAACTCTTCCTTCCTCGTGGGAATACTCTCAATTAGACGCTTGGCTTGAGCTTTGCGTTGATCCGACAAGACGCGCTTCCTATCCACCTCCTCATCGTTTCTAAACAATCGCTTCCGCTTGTCCGGCTCTTCCCCTTCCTCGTCCGACTGACTGAACATCGTATTACTGCCATGCATCCGCTTGGCTAGCCGACTGGTGGCTTGTTGGAAGGAGATCGTGGAATTTGCTGTAAAATCAACATCACGTATTAACTTCACTCCCATTTGTACGCTAATTACTACTTCATAAAATAACAGGTAACTCACGCAGGCCTTCGGACTGACTTTCTTGTTTGATCTCGTCAGAATCCTTCAAACTTTCTTTACTCAACGGGGAACTAATGGGCTCGTTCAGGGAGCTATTTGGTTCGTTGAGGGAACTGAGGGCTTCCTTGAAGTTCTGCGATATCATATGTTCATTCTGTTCCAGCTCCACTTTTTTCACATGCTCTTCTGCTTCGAACGAGTCACGACCTTCGTCGATTAATCGCTGTTTCAACTCTTCCAACATTTTCGTTTCCCGTTCACGGTCTTTCTTGTCGGCATCCAGCTCTTTTTCTCTGTCTTTTATTAGCCTCGCCAACGCCTTACCCCTACAGAAAAAAAGCCAGGTAAAAATACGTTTACAAAAAAAACTTCGAACTACATAATCGGAAGATTAAAAAAAGTCCACTAAAATTCAAATATTCTATAATATAAAACTTAATAAACGTTTTATTTATTTTACTTTTATAAGAAAAATAACCCCGGAAAATAGTTTATCGCTTACAAAAGCGCTTCCTTAATCACAGAAGTTTCAGCTGAGTAAACGAAAACAGTAGATGATTGATTCTTCGATAAAGTTTTATTAACAATCGCGCTTACCCATAAAACTCGTTATCCATTTTGTCGTCGTCGTAATCCTCGTACACCCTGATCAATCTCTTAGCATTTTTCTTCTCCTCCGACCGCTTGGACCGTTCCCGAGAGTCATCCTTGTCGCGCTCCCGCGACACTCTCTTCTCCCTATCTAACCATTTCTCCAGCTGATCCTGATATTCCTTCTCCAGTTCTGCTAGGCGCCGAATGTCTCTGCGTCGACTGGGAACGTTGACGACCTCCTCGGATGATGAGGAGGACGCGGGACTGGGCGAACGGCTTTTCCGGGGTGGCCTCTTCTGCGACGAGTTGCCCGAGGTGGTGTCGACGGAGGCGTTGCTGGTTGGAGAATCCCCGCGTTCACCCACAGGTTTCCGCTGGGCCCGTCCAGCTGCTTTGATACGTTCCTCTAAAACTTCATCGGAGCCCTGATAAAACAAACAAGCCAGAAACTTTATGACACTGTTTTCGAGATGAAGCATCCGCCCCATCCAACAGTCCCCCACAGTTAAACCACAAAGGTTTTTTCGCGATTAATAATTATTAATTTCTTCTCGCATTTTTCATATTTTTTTCACACTCACCCAAAACCGGGTTTGGATATGCGCACACAACTATTAAGCGCTCTTCAAGCCTGAGAAAACACTGGCATTGACGTTTTCTAGTTTATATCATACGGAAAGATATCCCCGGAGATTTTATAAACAAATTATATCAATTTAATTTTATATCTATCAAATAAAAAACGTACCAGTATCACCTTACCTTGTAAGTATCACGGAAATTCTGGATTTCACGACTGATTAGCTGGCGTTTGTCGTCTTCCATTTCAATCTCTTCGATGCTCTGTTACCAAGCAACAACTGCATTTTTAAAACAGGAAAAATCAAATCAGAGTTCAAATTACCGCGTCTTTATCTGATTTCTTTCTCGCGGCCAACGCTTTTTCTTCTGCAACAAAAATTCAGAGGTTTGCACAAAAAATCATTCCCAATGCTGCTCATTTCATCAATGATATTAAATTTTTGTCAATACCTGGAAGCGGTTTGGACAGTTCATCTTCGTGATCATCGATAATTATCTGGATCTCACGTGCCAACACCTGATCCTGCAGTTTAGTGCCTTCATCCACAGCGTCCTCCGGGGCATCCGGACCCAGCCTGGATTTCATCACGGTCTGGTAAGCCAGAATCAGTGGATGTTGTTTATTTCCAATCTTCACTTGTAAATCCCGGGCGGCCAGCCGCACCTTATCCAGCAGACGAATGGCACGAAGGGCGGACTCAGCGTCGAAGAAATCACAGAATCCAAAAGCTGTGCCGATACAGCAATGTTGTTTTGACAATGTTATTTGTATAAATCCACAAGCGGTGAGTAAAAGCTCAGAAACAGTTTTCAAAACGAATTACAGTAACTGTACCTTGGAGTTTATTGTTCGCTCCATGTACGCGCTTCCAGTTCGCCACATTGCCACATTTCTGCAATAACAAACCTCGTAAAACGCCGAAGGGTAGATTCTACTCGGTTCTTAACTGTTTAATCTGCTGCGTTTTGTAGAAAAAATAAAAAATTTCTAAATGCCGATTTAACGCAAACGCTCAAGAGTCTATCGGGTTCATTCTATTGGGTATGTCAAAACCTTAGAAGAGAGGTTTTCCACAGCCATTGCACTACACGCTTCCTCACCGAAATACAATTTCTGCTCACAGCAGAGTATATATAACATCACATATACGAAATGCCTAATCGACAGTAAGAGTGCTATAAAACGACAGTTTCTGAAACTAGCACGAAACTGAAACTAGTCATTTTTAGCAGAATTTTCTTCCAATTAATTCTCACAAACCTGGATGAGATTTCGCATTAATATTTCCGAAGCCCGCTCATCAATGTTCCCAATAAATATTGTAACGACGCTTTCCGGATCATAGTTAACCTTCGATTCTTGCGCGGCCGGAAAACCGTACTTGCCAGAACCCCGTTCCCGTTTACCTTCTTTAGCAAACGTTGGCGGGCCGGCTGGCGGAGGCACGGCACGGAAATTGGGCACTTGTCCCGGCATGGGAGGAGCGCCAAACGGCATCTGCGGCGGCATGGGCATCGGTCCGCCGGGTGGACGCGGGGGCATGCCGAAGCCGGGAACGCGCGGGGGTGGATAAGGAACGCCATTTACGGGAGGTAATTCGTTCTAAAATATGGCAAGAAGTTGCTGCCCTTGTGCTCCAATTTTATGAATCAATTCCATGTTCACACACTATCGAGGGTTTATTCTGAGCAGCTTCCAACAACATTCCTAGCACTAAGCACGTACACTTCACTCTATGAAAATCAATACTAGGAAATTACAGAAAAACCAAAATCTTTGTAAAAACTGTATTAGGATGATGCAAGCGAAAAATAATACCAACAACCAGGCTTCATTTTGAAATACCTAATGGCGAACATCAGCGTCCCAAAACAACTTGATAATACAACATCCATCTGAAAGAATGTCTTCCATTGAGCACGAAATCCACCTAGTGAGTTTCTGATACGCTGTTAATTTACTTCTGCTACTAAACCAGTCACTCTAGTATATAATCGAAGCAAACTTCAAATAATAGCAAATAATTCATTACCAAGCTGCAGAAGCAGGCAACAGCCAGTTGACTGCTTCAAGACTTTCCAACTATGGCTACCTGCACATAATAATTATCTACGGTATATTATCATCATCGCTCCGCAAAATCGCAAACTACAAAACGTTCCAAATATGCACTATTATACAACCTGCAGCTTTAAATCTCAAGAGTCAAGATCGAGTTCACTTAGACTGGAATAAACATAACTTACATGACAAATATCGAGACGAACGAGAGCGATTCCTGTGCGTATGGCATCACGTGAAGCAGATTACTGATTACAAGAGCGGAAGGAAAAAGAACAGATCAAAATAATCAGTTACTTAAATGTCCGAAAAATATAGATATTACGTTTAATTCAGCTAAATTCCCAAAAAAATGATTATTAGCATCTGATAGTCTACAGCGGTGCAAACTACCCGCATTATCTTATGATTTACAAACATCAACGAATATGCGAAATTTCTTAATTCAGCACGACATACAGTATGCCATGTAATGTTAGCACATCTTCTTCAACATTTCCCTGTTAGGGGTTATACATTATCTTTGCGACTTACAAGGAATTAACAATTCGCCGCACCATTTAACAGAACTTACAAAAATATTGACGTTTTTTCCTCCGTTCTACGGTTCTAATACAGATAATATAGTCAAAACCAAATGCAATCTTTCGCAATGAACGGAATAGTGTTATATTAAAATAAAGATTCAATATCATAGTTTCTAAATGGAAACCTACCCCAGTGGGAAAATACGGCTGTGGAGTGGGATTGACAGAGAATGGAGCAATATTCTGCAGCAGAGGATTCTGTGGTCCCGTCTGCCCTGGTCCTTGTGGCGGTGGACCACCTGCATACACATTTCTGGTCATCCTAGCAGAAAACTAAGCAGATATTATCCCAGTCACCTGGGCCACGTGGATTCATGTAGGGAGCAGGAGCAAACGGCATGCGTCCGCCAGGAACCTGGCCTTGTGCTGGCAGCATATTTGGACGGCCATTAAACATTGGTGGGGTTCCTGGGCCACTAAATCCCCCATACTGTGGATAGGACATGTTCACCGTCAACGACGAACACTAAAGGTTTTGCCAAGAGAAATGATCAGTCGTATATCCTGCTGTAATCTTACGTTCACGAAATCCGACAAAACTGGCCAGTATCTCAGTATCACCAAAGATTAAACCCCTCAACCGTAAGGGTGAAACACGAATATAAGAAGTCAAAGTAACGACATCAGAAGGAAGACCATTAAGGAGAATGGATGCGCAAAAGCTACGGTAGTCAAAATGAATATTAACACCACAGAATATAAGGGACACAAATGCACTTTAGCCCACTAAAAAAAGTGGCAGAAATCAGAAATGATAAATCTGTCCGAAAACGGTGGAAATCACGGCTCAGTCTTTTGAAGCTTTGGCGTTTTGGGCCAGTATGGATGCTTGCGTGGTGCGCAATGCGCATTTTTGAGTCTTAACATTACGCCAACCGCCCTATACTGCGGTGTCCACTGAATCGCAGTATTGTCCTTGGTATTGTACTTATTAATTTGTATTTGGTGTAAACTTACTTATTAAAATAATTATAATTACGGTAAGGACACAATAATTGTCAGAATTTTTTTGGTAAAAGTGACTTTCAAATTCCAACTATATGCACCACTTTAGTTGCAACTTGCACCACAGAGTAATGAAACATTTTCATGGGAGTTACTGGCTTGCTGGCAGTTCCGCTTATCAATTTATTAAACGACATGGTGAACAATTCCATGCTTTACGCAACTTTAATTTTGAATCGACATCCGAGTCAAATATTCTCATAATTCGGTGTTGCATTAGATGTAAGTAATTAGAGGCACTACCCGCTTCCAAAATTAATTAATGTTTAAAACTAATTAAATTTCTTAGAATAAAATATCGAAAGCCGAAGGCAGAACGTGGGCGGGTGGCTCTTAGAAATGAATTTATTTGCGAATAGCCAATGATCATGTTCATAACAGGAAGTTAATTCATGCAGATTGATGCAGTAGATACTGTAGCTGTAGGCAAGCGCTAGCTACACATTAAAATGATTGAAATCAAAAGCAGTAGCAGCTATTCCGACAGATTATTATAATTATAGTATTACCGGTACTAACAGTAACAGTTATAAATTATTGTTACCGGCAGAGTATACCACATTTAATTATGAACAGTGAATATGGTTGCACTATAAATGCCGTAAATCAGATCTTCGAACTTTTTTCCGGCATGGTTGTGCGTTGCTCACCTGATTCACGAAATTACGTATATAACGAGATCGTGCTAGTTGCTACGAGTACATTGTTTATAACTCATCCATGTTAACATAATCGTTACAGATCTACGTTGCAGACTCATCTTTTAATTTCGACACATACACAGTTACACTGAACGTATTAATTAATACCATTGTTCTGTGTACCCGAGAATAGCTGTCAGCGGAAATTTCTTATTCATTCAACTAAAATTTAGCAAGGACATGCACAAGATGAATTTCTATTTTCATGACTATTCGATTTTGTAAAAGTCATATAGTCGATATGGAAATCCTCTTACTGGTGGCAAGCTGTCGCAATTAGCATACGAATATGAGTACGAAGTCTAATTATATAACTCAGGTCTATTATTCTATGGTCATATATATTGATCACAAATTCAGTTCTGTTCATTCATTTATTTGACTTGTGAAGAGTGAGTACAATGGTCACAGTTTAAGGAATTGCAATTCAGATAAATAATCATGATTAACCGTTCGTACACTCGTCGAACAGCTCCCTCAGTGGTCGCGTACACATGCCTGATGATCTGTGTTTTCGTTACTCGTATTGAAAGTGCTTTATTATCTCGCCGCCTTGGCGACCTTTTGGAATCGGACCATGATGGCTCCAACGTCGCGATCGTTTCGCCTAATTATAGTTACGGGAGCAATACTTCCGCACCGACGCCCGATTATTATCGGAACCAATCCACATATTACCCGTATTTCTCACCAGAAGAGTAACGGGTGATATGGAATAAAATCTATTTTACATATTTTATCTAATTTTTATATTTATTACGTAAAATAACTATCTAACTTATATTTTATTACTACTTTTGCTCTTCTCTGAGTTAAGATTGTGTTTTAATATGAATGCTCGTGATTTGACATATGTCTTTTACATAGGCATCTCATTATGCGCAAGTTTGGGTGAAGATTGTGTTTTAATGATTCTCGTACACATGTTTCCTTGGCGTCTGATCTGTCAAAACATGCTCATTCCTTAATAACTCACAACACACAGTTTCTTTAGATATCTAACTGCTGGTATACTCTCATGTCGTATCCTAGGGGTACAGATTACTTACAAACATCTGAACATTTTGTTTCTACCTACTCATATTATTCGTACAGTTCTGCAACATACTCATTTCTAAGGTACATCTGACTGTTGTATGTATGCCAGTTTCCATAAACATCTCATTGTCCGCAAGTGTGTAAGGCCCAAAACGTTTTACAGTGCGTATCTTTCACAAACATCTGACGAGCTGCGTGCACTTTTGTTGCACGTTATTTGTTTGATTGTGCACAATTTTCATGAACTTTGCGATTTTAGCACACGTATCGCAATTGTCATCTGTGATCTGTCAGTTTCTGTAGACATTTAACCACGCACACGTCCATACGCTATTCTTCGTGCCTCTAAGTCTCGACATTTCTGTCGACAACTGCATTTCTATCTGAACGGGCGTCGTACAATTGCCATATTAAACAGTACACTTGCACTGAAGACTCTAAAACCATCCATCAAACTGCATGTTCTGCCCTTTTGGCAGCTTAGACTACACAATTTTTCATAGGAAACTGTAAAAAGTTGCAGTAGATGTGAAGCTGCATAGCTTATAGTAAAAGGTATTTAGCACGCTTTGTATTCCATTCTCGTCTCATTGATTGTTTTGTTCCTAAAGGTTTTCTTTTTTTGTTTTCGAGCTAAGCATTTATGTGTTAACTGGATTACTGGCCGTTACCCGCCATTTGCTATTGTTGTGCTTGCGGATTACTAATCGCAGGTAAGCAGAAACCATGTTTAACTTGGATGAAGTTTTGCGCTTTTATGCCGAGTTTCTGCAACAATGGTTGCATGAAAACTGGCCAGAAAAGGCAGAAGGGCTGTTTTCTCTCGATGCAATTGCCAATCTGTACGGGAAACAAAAGCTCATTCGTGAATACCGGGAAGCTAACGCCATACAGAGCGGTGGATCAAGGGGACTGGAATCCACAGACTGGACAAAGTACTTTACTCTGGAAAAGATCAACGAAAAGCAAACAAAGAAATTTTCAACATCGGAAATCACGTATCGCGTTAAAATCGAAAACCTCAATATGAAATTCGATCCTGTCACCTCAATGGAAGCAATGCCCAAAGTGTTCGAAGCTATATTCAGTGTCATTACGAAAGAATTCGGACCAGACGACAGAATCGTCATCCTTCTCTCCAGTCATACACTCAACCGCAAAGCTGATCTTCATATGAAAAGGTTACAAGATTTCAAGATTGACGACCTTATGGATATGATGGTCATGATTAATTCAAGCAACTCATTCTGCATCGACGAAAGTTTTCAAATTACAATTGTTCGGACCGTAATACCGGCTGGTGGAAGAAGAAGAAAACATATCCATACTACGGTTGACCGAAAACGATTCAGCTCGTCTATTGTTACAGTGACAACAGGAAACAACCTTTGCTTACCTGCAGCATTGGCGCTCGGTCATTTCAGAAACACTCATGATGTCAGCGGCAAAGACAAGATGAAATGGAAAGCTTTAACTAATCCTAGAGGGCGTAAGTTGGAAAAACTCGCGTGTCAGTTGGTCCAAGATGCGGGTCTCACTATTGGAAAAATGTTTGGGTTGGAAGATTTGCCGGCTTTTCAACGCGTTTTAAAGTGTCAAGTCAAGGTTATTTCTGTGCAGGAAGGAAACACTCTTATCGCTCAAGTGCCGGAGAAGAAGAAACCGGGAATGAAGCAGATTTACTTAATGTACGATAAAAATCATTTCGATCTGATAACTAAACCATCTGGATACCACATGCAGAGTTATTATTGCACAAACTGCGATCAAGGATACGGCCGAAAGACAGATCATCGCTGTGAACAGAGATGCAACATGTGTTATCGCAGTAAAAGCGATTGCAAGGCCAGTGACCCAAAGTTATGCCCCGATTGTGGACGAACTTTCACCAACAAAGAGTGCTTTGATGTGCACAAGACTTTACGAAAAAATGGAAGGACGCTTTGCGAGGATCTTTTCATCTGCTCCAAGTGCAACAAGTTTGTGAATATGCTCAATCGCCCGGATCAGGTTCATAACTGTGACGAAATGTACTGCTCAACCTGCAAAGACTGGGTGCCTCAAAATTCGCATAAATGTTACTTCCAACCTCTTGAACCAGAAGAATTGGATGCTAATCCGAAGTACATTTTCTTTGATTTCGAAACTTACACGTCGGTCGATGGTACTCACATTCCAAACTACGTCGTCGCGCAGTATTGCTGCGGAAAGGAATATCGTTTTCCTCCTGATGGTACTCCTCTAGCCGGTTATGATGTCATCGCAAACTTTTGCAAATGGCTTTTCCGTGAAGAGCATCGTGGCTACACGATAATTGCGCACAATCTGCGAGGATACGATGGACATTTCATTTTGGCCCACATGATAGACAATAACTTGAAGCCGGACATTCTTTGCCGTGGTAGTCAGCTGCTGAATATTCGCTACAAAGCTTTGGACATGAACGCCGTGGATACGCTTAACTTTGTGCAGCTGGCTTTGTCTAAATTTCCTAAAGCGGTCGGTCTTAAATCTGATGAGAAGAAAGGTGACTTCCCTCACAAAATTAATCAGCCGGAAAATTGGGATAAAATTATTCCCTTCCCAAACCCGTCTTCTTACGGTATCGAAGCAATGTGTGCCGCCAAGCAGGTCGAATTCTTTAAATGGTATACAGGCGAAAAACAAGAAGCAAGGACGTTTTGACTTTCGGCAGCAGTTAACCAGCTACTGTTCAATGGACGTGTCAGTTTTGCGGAAATGTGCCTTAAAATTCCGAGATGATTTTATGGCTCTAGCGTGCATTGATCCCTTTAAATCCGTAACCATTGCTTCAGCTTGTTTGAAATTTTTCGAACTTTTAATCTCCGGAAGGAAGAAATCGGAGTCATTTCAGCTCACGGTTACCAAACCAACAGAATAACCAGCATGGAAGCAACTCAGTGGCTGACCTGGGTTAACAAAACACAAGCTGATTGGCGAATCGAGCATGGGCGAAATGGAAAAGAGAAACGTATTAATGATTATTTTGTGGACGGCTACGATCAAGTTACCAACACGGTTTACGAATACAACGGATGCGTTTTTCATGGACATCCGGACTGCACCAACGCAAATGACCGTTCGCCTTTTTCAAACAAGACTATGCAAGAAGTTTACGAAGAATACCGGATCAAAGTTTGTTCTATAAAAGCTCGGCGCTTCAACTTTGTGGAAATGTGGTCATGCCAGTGGC